TAGCTGCGCTGAGCCGTCAATCGGACTCCTAATCAAAGGCATCCATACCTGTATTCTTCACTCTTCTGATCGCAGGCTCCCCGTCATGCTGCCCATCCTGCAGCGGCGCTGAACTCCGGCTCATCTTCCAAGTACATGTCTGCCCTCCTCGCAGCATCTTCCTGCTCTTCTTCTATGGCTTCTCTGCATAAGCGTTTCACCATTGCTCACTCAACCTTCATGCGGTCCGAGCCACGGCGTTCCCGACCATCCTACTATCCTGATTTCTACTCTCCAACCCAAGGTTTCAAGCGTAAGGGCGCCTGCAACTTCAATGGCCCTCTCCGATATGTCTCTGCCCCTGCAGGTCTCCGCTTCTACACGGACGCTGCCCCTTCCGTGGGTTTTGGGGGATTCTTCCAGGACCATTGGTTTGCCGAGCGTGGCCGCTACTTTCCACCGGAGCATCTCCTCTGCCCTACACGTGATATTCCCAGTGGTCGTGGCCTGCGCGCTGTGGAATCACACCTGGCAGAGAAAGAGGATCTCTGTCATGTGTGATAATCTCAACGTAGTGGAAGCATTACACAAAGGTCGCTCTTTTTCACCCAACATAATGTCCCCTGACCATTTCAACCTCCGTCTCAAACATTCAAAAATCAAAAGGAGCCTGCAATATAGTAATAGCTCGCTCGGACACATCTCTCTGCCCCTACAAATCCTTATGCGTTACACTCGCCTCCGCTGCAAAAAGGAGATTTTAACGGACCTCTCTTCTCACTCCAGACATTCTTCCCATGACAGCAACCTGGTTCAGAGCTCAACTAAGATCCCTACTGCTCTGTAAATTATCTCCCCAGCTCTACACAGCCCACTCATTCAGGATAGGCGCCACCACGCGCGCGGCCTCGCTGGGGCTCCCCCACACCTCTCTGCAACAGCTGGGGCGCTGGTCCTCTTCGGCCTTCTCCACCTACATCAGGCCAGACGCGTCCGCTATCCTGGCTGCACAACGTCTACTGGCTTCCTCGTAAGCTCCCAGCAAAGCAATACAAAGCAAAGTAAGTGAACCAATAAGATTCTGGTGGCGGCACGCACTTCTTCAAAGATAACCCTGTTGCAGCGTCCGGTTGATCGTGATGCGAGCGCTCACGTCCCGGCGCTTAAAGATAACTCCACTGCAGCGTCTGGTACCGATCGTGATGCGAGCGCTCACGTCCCAGACAGCGTCCGGTTGATCGTGATGCGAGCGCACACATCCCGGCGCTCAAAGATAACTCTGCTACAGCGTCTGGTATCGATCGTGATGCGAGCGCTCACGTCCCAGGCAGCGTCCGGTTGATCGTGATGCGAGCGCTCACGTCCCGGCGCTCAAAGATAACTCTGCTACAGCGTCTGGTATCGATCGGGATGCGAGCGCTCACGTCCCAGGCAGCGTCCGGTTGATCGTGATGCGAGCGCTCACGTCCCAGACAGCGTCCGGTTGATCGTGATGCGAGCGCTCACGTCCCGGCGCTCAAAGATAACTCTGCTACAGCGTCTGGTATCGATCGTGATGCGAGCGCTCACGTCCCAGGCAGCGTCCGGTTGATCGTGATGCGAGCGCTCACGTCCCAGACAGCGTCCGGTTGATCGTGATGCGAGCGCTCACGTCCCGGCGCTTAAAGATAACTCCACTGCAGCGTCTGGTATCGATCGTGATGCGAGCGCTCACGTCCCAGGCAGCGTCCGGTCGATCGTGATGCGAGCGCTCACGTCCCGGCGCTTAAAGACAACTCTGCTACAGCGTCTGGTATCGATCGTGATGCGAGCGCTCACGTCCCAGGCAGCGTCCGGTTGATCGTGAAGCGAGCGCTCACGTCCCGGCGCGCAAAGATAACTGCCCGTTTTTGGGGATTATGCGCGCGAGCAAGCGCCGCACTCAACAGCATCTCTCCCGGGCCTAGGGCGCCAAACATACTCAATCAACAAACTTCTAACTGCATTTTCCCTCTTGGGTCTCTCCAAAGTGAAATGAAGCTCTTCGCGAAAGTTCACTGTGGTAGACCCGGCCACTGCTGCCAGATCTACAAGCCTGCTCATCCTCTACTCATTACATCAGCAAAACGCCCACATCTAATCCACCAATAACCACCAGGACAGCAAGTTAAAAGCCGGAGACGCCCACTTCCCGGCCTTCTGAAGTTTGCAAAGCCTCCGCCGCCCCACCTCCTCCTTCTCTCATCGAAGCGTGCTTGCCTACTGCCTCTGCCGTCACCAGTGCCTAGGCCCCGGGGGGGATTATGCGCGCGAGCAAGCGCCGCACTCAACAGCATCTCTCCCGGGCCTAGGGCGCCAAACATACTCAATCAACAAACTTCTAACTGCATTTTCCCTCTTGGGTCTCTCCAAAGTGAATTGGTTATAGGCACTTTTACCATCAAACTGCATCTCAACCATTTGGTAAAGGCCTATGAATACATAAAGAAAAACATAAAGAGAAAAGCCAAAAAAGAAAAACAAAAAACATTGCTTTCTTTAAGGAGAGAACATTAAAGGGTTAACAAGGACAACTGAGTTCAATAACATTTTAAAAAATCTGATATTTCAAACAAACATAACAACAAACTGACCTATAAATTAGAAGTGAACCCAAAGTAAAATAGCACAATTATTTTGTTATTATTTTTAATAATGTTGGCCGATTAATACATGGGCTGTGAACTAAGAAAAAAGGATTTATGCCAAAGAACAATTCAAATCCAGAGCCAGTACCAAAACATGGGTGCCAAAAATGACTCATAATGGCACCTTCATACTCATTGGTGAAGTGGACTCGGTTCACTTCAGCAGCAATGCATCTGTCCTGAGAACGTCACAGATCTGCTTCAAAACATGTGACCGGACGGAAATGACTGGAACATGTGAAGAGATGTTTGACTGGTCCAGTTAAAGAGAATTCTGGTTCACTTTTTAAAAGATATATTCATGTACTTCTAACCTTGTTTTGTTTACTTGTCTTGTGCACATTGGGGACTTTTGCTAAATGTATTCCAATGTATGGCAAAATGGCAACAAACAAAAAATCTGAAGACAGTGAACCTAAAGTGAACCGCAGTCACCTTTAAGAGGATCACAGCCAATCACATGTTTATTGTTTTTGTCATGAACTTTACAACATTATCGTTCAAAACGTTGTATTTCCTGACACTGGAGAGTTTCCACTGATGTTGATGCTATGTTTGCGTTGACGTTTATTTACCCCTCTGTGTCAAATAACCGAATATTGACATTTCTCACAATCACAAAAACATATTGTGACTTCCTTACCCCAAAGGAATACATCCATGAATGAGCTGCACTTACAACAAAAACATTGCTTTGTGGCTTAAACCAGAAATTAACCACAGATTAAAAAATTGTATTTAGGAAGAATTGTTACAGCTTTGTGTTGACCAGCCTATAATAGATAGAGCTTGACATCCACCTCCTTCCAAGTGGGCTACAGGCAAGAGACCCAGAGTTTTAGATCATAAACATCTATTGACTATAATAGTAATGCAAACTCTGATGTCAAAGTGTGTGTACTAAATAGAGTGGTTAATGATCTATATTAGTACAACTGTAACGTGTAAGTTCGTGGTGATAGAAGGATGACTCCCAAGGTAATAGAACAGCAGGATGGAGCAGGATTCTTTTAAGCCAGCAGTCAGTTTATTATCAACCCATTTTCAACTCTTCCCTTCCTCCCTTACGTCACCGTCACATGACCCATTTTACCCAATCACTGCACTGCTCCAAACTAACAAAGATATAACTCATCAAAATAATATCACTTACATTACTCCCCCTCCCACAAAAGAAACGTCCCCGTTTCAGACAACAGGTTAATAAAAAAAAAATCAAATATAACATAAAATCACTCAGTAACATAATCCCTGAGGTAAGCAGGTGGCCTAACAGTACGCCGGCTGGGCCGTGAAAACGTACTCATACCGTCACACACAGGAGGAACATTGGGAGAACCCTGGGAGTCCACAGGAACAAGGAGCAGAGGCTCGGACTGGGGCGAGGCCGCAGATAAAGTTACCGGCGGAGTAACATCTCTGCACATGTCACTATTACCCATGCCCTGAGAGAACGAATAAGGCAAAGCACCAGACAAAGCATTCAATGCAGGCAGCCCGGGCTGTGTAGGTACAGTCGGAACAGGGGCCCTGACATTGCTTTCTGGAACTGGAGCTCTGTAAGATCTGAGCCGATTATAGTGAACAATTTGGGAGCGACTCGAATCATCTAACAAATAACGAATCTTATAGGTCACACCCTGCGTCTGCTCTTCTAAACCACCTAGACACTCCTGAACCACAAATGGACCTTTCCAATGAGGAGCCAGTTTTTGCTTAGACTTTGTAGGATCATTTAACCACACGAGGGCGCCAGGCACATATGGAACATGTTTAACACGTTTATCATACTGCACTTTCTGTTTGTGTGAAGCATCATTCCTATTGTTCACTGCAGTGATGAAAGCGGTTTCAAGTTTCTGCGTTAACCTCTCTGCATACTCCGTAGGAGAGTTTCGTGCAGAAAGAGGCACGCTGTTGTCAAGTAACAGATTAGCGGGCATCCTCGCTTCAAAACCATGTGTAAGAAAAAATGGAGTAAAGCCAGTAGTGGAGTGGGGAGTGGTATTATAGGCTAATGCTACTTGATTAAGACAGTCATCCCATTCACCTGACTGTTGTAGCAGAGTCTTAGCCAATTGGTCAATGAGAGTCCTGTTAAACCTCTCAATCATGCCATCACATTGTGGATGGTAAGCACTCGTGCGTGTTTTTTGTACGCCCATCATTTGACAAAGGTCTTTAACTATATCTGACTCAAACTGTCTGCCTTGGTCGGTATGCAACACTTGGGGAATGCCATGTTCACATATATAGTTTTCAAATAAACACTTGGCAACTGTGACAGCTCGCTGGTCTAATATTGCATAAAGGTTGACATATTTAGAAAAATAGTCCTGTACCACCAGCACATACCTGTTGCCACGAGTAGTAATAGGGAGTTCAAGGATATCTGCAGCGACTTTCTGAAATGGCTCTGTGGCAACAATGGTTTTCATGGGAGCCCTCTGCTGAGGAACAGGGCTGCGTCTAGCATCACAAGGAACACATTTGTTACACATTTGTTTTATATCCCGCAACATAAAAGGCCAATAACAAAACTGCTGCGCACGTTTGACCACTTTGTCTGGGGACATGTGACCTGCTACTGGATTACCATGAAGCAATTCCAAAATTGTGTTCTGACATGCCTGCGGAACAACAATTTGATGCATGTCTGATTTTGTCACAGTATTATAGACCTTACGACAAAGAAGTCCCTCATTAAATGAGAGCCTGTTGAATTCATGCCACAGAGCCTTTTCTACCTGGGTGCGCTTTTTCATACACCAATAAGGCGGTTTGTGTCCCTTCCTTGTCCAGTTTATCACCTCAGACAAAACTGGATCCTGTTGTTGAGCCGTTTTGAGCTCCTCTGCCGGGAGCTGCAGCATGCTGGTGGAGGCAACAGTCTGTGAAACGCCTTGTATGTCCGAATAATGGGGCGGAGCCTCCACTGCTGAACTCACATGTGATAAGTCTGTATCAGTGAATGTACCTGTGACAGCCGGTTCTGCAGCTAGAGGGTCCTTTGGGCGGCGCGACAAAGCATCTGCATTCAAATGACAGTAGCCTTCTTTGTAAACCACTGTCCATTCAAACGGGTCAAGTTCAAGAGCCCAACGTGCGCGTCTCCCAGTCCTATCACTGTCAATAGGGATTTTCCTGAGACCCAATAGTGGTTTGTGATCCGTCACAATAACAAATGGCTGCTTGTAAAGATAATGCCGGAAATGACGTACTGCCCACACAATAGCCCAAAGTTCTCGGTCATATGTGGACCACCTCTTCTCCGCTTTCGTCAAGACATGACTGGCGTAAGCCACTACTTTTTCAGTCTGCTCTTGTTTCTGTCCCAGGACGGCGCCCACAGCAGTGCATGATGCATCTGTATAAAGGACAAATGGCAATGAAAAGTCAGGAAACGCAATGACTGGAGGCTTTGATAAAGCACTCTTCAAATAGACAAAGGCATCTTGGCAGTCTGTAGTCCATGCAAAAGGAGAATTCTTTGCAGTGAGGGCATGCAATGGTGCACTGTGGTGTGCAAAACTTTTTATAAACTTGCGATAGTACGAACAAAGACCAAGAAAAGCCCTCACCTCTGTCGCAGTCCGTGGGATAGGCCAGCTTTGCACACTGCTCACATTACGTGGGTCTGGGTGTACCCCCGCTCCTGATACCACATGGCCCAAAAAATTCACCTGCTTCTGGGCAAAACTGCATTTGGATGAATTCAATTTGAGTCCACTTGACTTGAACCTGGAGAAAACCTCTTCCAAGTGCTGGAGGTGCTCACTAAATGTGCGACTAAATATCAGAACATCGTCCAGATAGACAAGACACATCTTCCAAGGGAGTCCACGTAGCACCATCTCCATTAAGCGTTGGCATGTGGCAGGAGCATTGGTGAGGCCCATGGGCATCACTTTAAAATGATAGAGCCCGCTGCCTGTTGTGAAAGCTGTCTTCTCACGGTCATGTTCCTCCAGCTCCACTTGCCAATAACCATGTTGTAAGTCCATTGTTGAAAACCAGGCAGAGCCTGATAGAGCGTCCAATGCATCGTCCACTCTGGGAAGTGGATGTGAGTCCTTTATTGTCACCGCATTTAGTTTGCGATAGTCCAAACAAAAGCGCCATGTCCCATTTTTTTTTCGCACTAAAACAACTGGCGCTGCCCATGGACTAAAGCTCTCCTCAATAATGTCAGCTTTCAGAAGTTCATTGACCTGTGCTTGTATCTCCGCCCTCTGGTCAGGAGTCACTCTGTATGCTCTTTGTTTACTAGGCATAGCGTCACCTGTGCGAATATGGTGCCTTATCACCCCTGTGCGGCCCCTATCCTGGGAATTCAAACTGAACACCTCAGAATACTTCACTAAAAGATTATTTAATGCTGCGGTCTGGGAGTGTGATAGGTGTGTATTTGTTAACTGCACTAATGGTGACAAATCCCCATTGGCCAATGAGGACGCCTCATCAAGTGGTGCTATGTCAACAGAGGAAACTGAATGAAATTCACCCAGATGTTGGCCTGGATGTAGTTCAATATCCTCTCTAGAGGTGTTCAACACTCTAACCACAGTGGTGCCATGCTGGACAGTACTAACTGTGTGCGCCACAATGACATCAGTGTTTGTATTGGGCATCATTACACCACAATAGTCTGTCGGTACTGGCGAGGCAGGAGTAGCAGAAGATACACAAGCTGAAATTAATGTTTCACTCATAGCTGGTATTTTAGTGGGTACTAAGACTGACACATTACAGCATGCGGCCACTTCATGTTGTTTTGGTAACAGTGGGATTGTCATGTCCCAAAGCTGTAGTACTTTGTTTTTAATGTCCAGCAAGGCACGGTGTTGCACCAGAAAATCCCAGCCTAAGATAACTGGTTGATAAGCCCCTCTGAGCACTTCAAACTCATGTTGCCAAACTTTGTGTCCCATCCTAAGTCCTATCGTTAACTTGCCTAAAATGTCCAAACTCTGACCACTCACAGAGCGAGCAGGGACAGTGGAGAAAGTCATTGGTCGCTTCCTCAAAGCTGGGTGAGAATTACGAAACTCTTCACTAACAATGGAAACAAATGAACCTGAGTCAATTAAAGCACACACTTCAATGCCCTCCACAATAGCAAGAACTGTGGATGAAACCACTTTTGTGCTCTGGGGCGCGGACGTAGTAGCTGGCGTTTGCCCCTCAACATCAGCTAATGGAAGTTTCCCGGCTGCGAGAGTGGTGCTTGTCGCTCAGGGGATTGAAACCTCACACTTTGTCTTGAACGTGGGCTGGGATCCCTACGTCCCCTCGCCGCTGGGCTGGGACTGCGAGGATAATCCGTACGCTCATATCTAGCATAGGTCCCTGATCTGGGGGAGGAGGGATAGTGGCCTTTCCAGTCAGTGTCCTGCTCCCTGTATCTCTGGTGTGCATTGGGGCTAGGACTGGATCTCCGGGAACTATCTCTGCCATAACGCTCAGGGGAGTAGTAGCCCCTCTGTCTGAAACGGTCCGCAAGAAGACCATGTTTCTCATGTAACTGGTGAACTTCCTGTCTGAGACCATCAACAGTGAGTGTTAGCTGTTCTACTGCCTGAAGGAGCTTATCCTCCGAGGGTCTGGGCCTGACCATTGCCACCTGGTCAGCAGACCCAGTGACCCTGCATGCGTGATCCGTAGAGTTTAACTGAAGAGCCACACGTGCCCTCTCACAGCGACTTGCTACACGCAGGGCCTCTTCAATGTCCTCTGCTCCCTGCTCATGTATTTTGGCCTGAAGTGACGGGTCCAAACCAGCCACAAAACGACGAAATTTCTCCCCCTCTATGGCATTGTGGTCATACCTCGGAAAAGCCTCCAACACCAATCGGGTTATATCTGCACTGTAAACATCCAAGCTCTCCCCGGGCTGACGAGGACGAGCATTTACATGAGTTTGGAAAAAGGGCAGGGAGTACTTTGGGCCAAAAACAACACCCAGCTTCACCTTGACCGTGTCATAATCCTTCTTTGTTGCTGAGGGTAAACTGTCCCAGAGCAAAAATGCAGCATCAGAAAGTCTAGTAGGTAGAATAGCAGATCTCATAGCAGAATAGTCCATATCCGGTGAACTCATAGCTTCAACGGCAACCTCAAAGCGACGAGCCCAACTGGAGAAAGATTCAGTGCCATCACCTTTGAATGGCGGCGGGAGGTCTATCTTCAGCGCTCCTGAGACCGCGCCTCGCGCCGACAACGTGGAGTCACTCAGAACCCCCGACAGCCGTACAGGGAGCCCTCGAGGAGGCGACGACTGCAGTTCATGCACTGTAACGTTGTCATCCATGGTGATAAGGGCACTTCACCAACCACACGCAAAAAAAAAATTATATATGACAAAAAGAGCCGTAGCAAAAATCCGTAGTAGCTCCAAAACCGCACTTTAGCAGCTAGCCGTTCACAGAGAGACAACAACCGGAGCTCAAAACTCACCGGACGTCCAAATCATCAAAATAACCAACACCGCTGCCACCAAATGTAACGTGTAAGTTCGTGGTGATAGAAGGATGACTCCCAAGGTAATAGAACAGCAGGATGGAGCAGGATTCTTTTAAGCCAGCAGTCAGTTTATTATCAACCCATTTTCAACTCTTCCCTTCCTCCCTTACGTCACCGTCACATGACCCATTTTACCCAATCACTGCACTGCTCCAAACTAACAAAGATATAACTCATCAAAATAATATCACTTACACAACTATCACCGTTATTATATCTATTCGAAGCTCAAAACATGATCTGCAAAAACGGCCAGTGGAACCAGTGTCATAACATAGTACTAAAACTCGACTTTAATCCACCAAATAAAATGAAAAGCTCGCTCTTATATCCTCCCATTTGATCTCGAGCGTGTTCTCTCTGTATCATGACAAACAAAACACAAGCTGTCACTTACATGTGTGCAGAGGCAGCAGCGCGGACTTCCCAGATGTTTCCAGCGTGAGCTCTTTCCCCCAGTGTGTCACAGCAGACCTGCGCGCTCCACATCCAGCTCTGGCACCAGCTCCAGGGCGCACTCCCGCATGCGTAACCCGTGCGTAAAAGCTGTCGGTCCCGGGAGCGGCAGGGAGGCGCAGAGAGGACCGGGGGGCGCATGGAAGGGGAGGCACGGGCTGAACTTCGTTCTGTGCGGAGGAAGTGGGAGTGGAGTGGATTCCGGTACACGCTCCGCCTCTATGAACTGCGCTGTGACTGACGAGGGATTTCCCTATATCTCACAAAGAGCAGCTGCCTGTGTGCTGCGCTGTTCTATGGAAGAAGAAAGAAAAAAAACTGGACTGACTAAGTAGACGAAGATAAATTGGTTCCAGGTGCAAATAGGAAAGTCATTCAATCTGTTTTGAACTTTAAAGGAGCAATATATAAGATTTTCATGTCAAGTCATCATTAAATGGCCCTAATCTGTCAAAAGCCATTAATAAACCATGTTCTTTTCCAATACTTCTTTAACTGATAAAAGTAGCTCAGCCGAGATATTCAAATTTCAAAATTGGTTTTACAGCCGCTAAATCTTGTTAGGGGCTGTTTCGATGACCCGCCCTCCACTGTTTCACCAATCAGAAAGTCAGTGATCTGGGTTGCCAGATCTCGAGCTAATCTCACTGGTAAAGTTACATGTGGCCGCAGTACGCAAAAAGGTCTCATTATGATTCTCAAATCATTAATGACAAAACAAGGAATAAAACAAGGATTTCTATCGGGGCCTTTGTGAAAAAGTGTTGGTTATAGCTGTGTTGTTGATAAAACTCTTGTCTATTCAGATGTTCTGGTCCCAGCAGGATTCGTCTGCATATCGGGCAACCTGAGTCAGGGAGTGTGGGAGAGGTTGCAGTCCTACTTTTGGTCAGAATTGTACATAGTACTCCTAACTTTTATTTTTCATTCTGGGAACTTTTGCAAATGTATTTCAATGTAATTTTACTGCAAATGGCAAATAAAATGATTCTGAATCTGAATAAGGCATGTTTGTCCCAACAGTCAGCAAGAAGGTCTGGGGTTTGATTCCACCGCTTCTGGGTCATTCCCCGTGGAATTTGCATGTTCTCCCCCATGGTGCTCCGGTTTCCTTCAGGTGCTCCGGTTTTCCTTACAACTAAATGTATGTGATGGTGATGGTCAGAGGCTTTGATGTGACTGTTTGATTTCTCTCCTCTGTCATCACCTTGTATGGAGTGAATGGAGAATACATGGTTCAACAAGAATTGTATAGTGCTTTGTGTGACAGGTCAGCAATGACTGTACATGCATGGGAAAACCAGTGACTGAGCAAAACTTCAGCAATTGAGGAACTAGTGACATGGATTGTTTTTTTTGTTTTTTTTTACGTTAGTCCTTCTGTTATGTTTTGAAAGTTAGGTGTCTTATGTTTGTTAATTTGTATATTAGAATGTCTATTGCCTGGGACATTACTGCTACACTACACTAAATACCCAGGCTTTACTCCTGCAGCAGTTGCAGTGCTGCAGTTCACAATCTGCTAAACCATTTTAATTGCTATGGATTCTGTGCCTGCATATGAGTCCTTAGTAAATAAATAAAATAACATTGAATGATGTCTGTAGTATCTCGCTCAAGCCAGCCACCAACTGTGCAAGTCTTCCCACTTACAACATTGTGAGATGCCTGTATTTTTATCATGTCAAATAGATTGAGAAAATCACATTTTTGAAGAAATTATATAAAGAGGCCTTAATATTTAGGCCTTGAAAGCAGCAAATGCAGAAGAAGCCAAACGGCATATGTTGATAGTCACCAAGCTCCAAGACGATGAAACAGATGATGTATGTCAGAAACCAGGATGCTATGGACCTGTTGAATGCTCGTTTACTGGATGCAAACAGCAACATAGACAAGCTGAAGACCCAGATGCAGGAGCAAGAAACAAAACTGAGGACAGAAGCCTCTCAGTTGAAAGGAACATTGGCCAAGACCCAGAAAGAGTTAGAGGAGTATAGAGCAAATTTCCTGATGAAAAACTCTGTCATTGCTAGGATGGAAACAGAAAATGCAAAAGTCGATGCAGAGAATAGAGAGCTTAAGAGAAATATTCTGAATCAGAAAAGTCAGCTGAGAGATGTACATGCTGCTTCAGAGAAAAGACTTCTCTGAAGCAGCCCAGAATAAGTACATGGATGACGTCCAGGCTCTGACGGTGGTGTGTGAGGAGGCTCTGGAGAGGGCCAGGAGGACATCAGGTCACACCATCCAAGAGCTGAGAAAGCAGATTGAGCTGAATGACAAGGTGATCAGCAATCTGATAGAAAACCAAGCGCAGGAGAAGCAGCAGCTGGCCAAGACCCAGAAAGAGTTAGAGGAGTGTAGCACGAATGTCCTGATAAAAAACTCTAGCATTGCTGCAATGGAGGCAGAAAACGCCAAAGTCAAAGCAGAGAATATAGAGCTCAGGACAAGAATTCTAGATCAAGAAAATCATCTGAAAAACATACATAAAGATGTGTCCAGGTGTTTTTAAGACACCAATAACCCAAACAAAATCACCCATTCCCAAATCCCATTCACTAACTCCTTATAGACCATTTTAGCAAAGACAACATAGACTGAAGGTTGTTACAGATCTCTTTGGTCCCTCTCTCCTTCTCTGGTCCCTCTCTCCCTCTCTGGTCATATCAAATCGAAATTTCCCAATAACCAGTAGATTCAGTGCAATTGCCTGTCATGGTGCTAAAGCTAACAGCTAGCACACATCGGGCCTGGTCTCCTAATGTGAGGCCTGGGCACAGTGCTACAGTGGGGCGGCTGTAAACTGGCCGTCGTGTCCTTGGGCAAGACACTTCACCCATTTTGCCTTGTGTGAATGTTGTGCATGTGTGAATGGCAGGTGGTGGCAGGAGGGGCCTCTATGGCAGCCTTACTTAAAGCAGATTGCCCCAGGGCAGCTGTGGCTAGTAGCTCACCACCACCACGTATGGAATGAATGATTAGTGTGACGTGTTGCAGGAAATAGGAAGCTTTAGTTCAGGTTGAATGCAACAGTTTGAGGCAGCAGTAGCACTTTGGTGTCATGACCGGCACTTTATAAATGCAACCGAATCGCTAACAATGGCTCCAATAATATTTTAGTTTAGTTCAGCCATTGAGAGGATCTGGCTCCGGAGGCTTGAGTTTGATTTGTTTTCTGTTGACCCCGAGATCCAAAGAAGAAACCAGAATAGACTTTCTGGTTAAATCCAATAGAGCACATCTGGGACATCATGCCTCGGTCTGTGGTGGAACGTCTTGAAAATGGTCTTAGATAGTTACCCCCCCTCATCCCACCCAACTGCAATACAAAAAAACAAAATAAAAATAATAAAACGTATTGATGTGTGTATTTTCAACTTTTGGTAACACTCTAGATTAACTCTCACTAATTAACAACAAGTAATGCACCCTAACTCTAACTCTAACCATAACTCTAACCCTAACCCACATGGGAAATTAGTATTTAATTAGATGTTGATTTTAGGACATCATTACATTTGTTTAAAGTTAGGTGCCCCAGCTTTACCTTTAACAGCAGTGTGATACATTCCATAGTAATAACATCTCAAAAAGCTGCATAGTCTTCTTTTGACTGAAAAATTCTGTATTAGTTAACATGAGTAAATGGTGCGATAAAAGACTGTTTCAAATGCAGGTATTTGCTCTTCATGCAAATATGAGACTGACGTGTTCACACATGTAATTCTAAGCCTTTTTGTCCCGACAGAGTCTTGTAAAACTATTAGCTAATGATCTTTTTCACAGATATAGCCTGGTCTGTTTAAGTCTGAAAAAATCTGACAGGAGGCCAAAAATGCATGGTTGTTGTGAGTGATAGATCCAAGCTTTTCAGAGACCTGAGAACGAGCGAGATGGATTTTATCAAATATTCTTTTGTTATTGGTTAGAAAACTTGGTACCTTAGCTTTAAATGCTGATGCAGAATTGGCTGTGTCTTGTCAGAACTGTCTGAGAGTATAGAGTGCCCCTAGTGTACAGGACCAATTTACCAGGCACGTGTTAATAAAATGGAGCTTCGCGAAAGTTCACTGTGGTAGACCCGGCTGCTGCTGCCCAGGCCACAGGCTGCTCTTCCTCGACTCATCAATACCAGCAACGCCCACATCCAGTCAACCAATAACCACCAGGACAGCAAGTTAAAAGCCGGAGATGCCCACTTTCCGGCCTTCTGAAGTCTGCAAGGTGCATGTCGCTAACGCACCTGTTCGCAAATGCATGCGTTGTTCTGGAGGGGTCGCTTCTGCTCACGTGTTGCTCGTGCGCGTGGCCCGGCTGTCCTCAGTCTGGCTGCTTGTGGTCTGCTCCTCCTTTGCGTCCCTGCACCTGCTATGGTTCGCGCGTCTCCACTGCTCTCCTCTTCTGCGGGCTCTTTCTGCGGGCTCTCCGTGGGGCCCTCCGCGGGGCCCTCCGCGGGTTCTGTGCTGCTCGTTCCTCGTGGTCTGCTGCCGCGCGCAGACGGTCTGGCGGGCCGCGTTGTCCCGTTGCTTTTCCCAAGTCTCCTGGCATGTGAGTACAGTGAGCGTGCCGACCGCGGACGGATTAATCCCGGAGTCTGGACTGCGGGCTTGGTTTTTGCCCCGTACACTGGACTGCAGGCTTCGTTTTCACTTGTGTTTGAGCTAACTGAGGGGCAACGCATGTTAAATGGTATCAATATCCATCGTCTGAGGGATATAAGAGGAGCACGTGCATTAATTCAGATTCATGTTCTGCCACTTGCAGTAAAACCACGTTGGAAGCTTCATACTGCTTGCTGCTGCTGCTTCATTTACTTGACATCTCTCTTCCCTTTACATCTCTCTTTCTGAAACACTAAACAGCTACAACAATTTCTACTGCTGTGGCCTTGATACAGGATTATTGCTGTTATTATCTAAGGATGCTGCAACTGCTGCTGTTGCTACTGCTACTGCTGCAACCACTGCTGCAACACTGCTGCTGCTACTGCTGCTTCATTTACTTTGACGTCTCTTCACTTTACATCTCTCTTTACTGCTGAGCTGTCAATCAAACTCCTACTCAAAGGCATCCGTACCCGTATTTTTCACTCTTCTGATCGCAGGCTCCCCATCCTGCCGCCCATCCTGCAGCGGCTCTGAGCGGCACTGAACTCCGGCTCATCGTCCAAGTACATGTCTGCCCTCCTCGCAGCATCTTCCTGCTCGCCTTCTATGGTTTCTCTGCATAAGCGTTTCACTACTGCTCACTCAACCTTCAATGCGGTCCGAGACACGGCTTTCCCGACCTATCCTACTGTCCTGATTATCTAATCTCCATCCCCAGATTCTAAGCGTAAGGGCGCCTGCAACATCATTGGCCCTCCTCGGTATGTCTCTCTGCCCCTACAGGTCTCCGCTTCTACACGGACGCTGCCCCTTCCGTGGGTTTTGGGGGGTTCTCCCAGGACCAGTGGTTGGCGGGGCCGTGGCCCGCTACTTTTCCCCGGAGCATTTCCTCTGCCCTACACGAGACATTCCCAGTGGTCGCGGCCTCGCTGGGGCTCCCCCACTCTTCTCTACAACAGCTGGGGCGCTGGTCCTCTTCGGCTTTCTCCACCTACATCAGGCCAGATGCGACCGCTATCATGGCAGCACAACGTCTACCGGCTTTCTCGTAAGCTCCCAGCAAAGCAAGTAAGCAATATATTCTGGTGGCGGCACGCACTTTCCTCAAACGCGCATGTCTCAGCTCGCTCAAAGATTCCTCTGCTGCAGCGCTTCAGCGTCTGGCGAATATGAGCGTGCATCTCATATTCCCAGCTCGCTCAAAGACTCCCCTGCTGCAGCGACTGGCTGAACATGCGCGTGCGCGCATGTTCCCAGTTCGCTCAAAGATTCCTCTGCTTCAGCGTCTAGCTGAATATGAGCACGCTCATATCCTCAGCTCGCTCTGCCTAAACACGGGCCCCAGCGGACGCAGCCGGCCGAAGCGACCGTGCGAGAAGCCTCACTCATGCTCTCAGGCCCGCGCAGTACATCCTGCTACCCCAATTGCAGGCCCGCTTTTTGGGGATTATGCACGCGAGCAAGCGCCGTGCTCAACAGCATCCCTCCCGGGCCTAGGGCGCCAATCATGCTCAATCATAAACATGCTTAAATCTAATAAGTCTAACGGCATCTTCCTCATGGGTCTCTCCAAAGTGAAATGGAGCTTTGCGAAAGTTCACTGTGGTAGACCCGGCTGCTGCTGCCCAGGCCACAGGCTGCTCTTCCTTGACTCATCAATACCAGCAACGCCCACATCCAGTCAACCAATAACCACCAGGACAGCAAGTTAAAAGCCGGAGATGCCCACTTCCCGGCCTTCTGAAGTCTGCAAGCCTCCGCCGCCCCACCTCCTCCTTCTCTCATCGAAGCGCGCTTGCCTACTGCCTCTGCCGTCACCAGTACCTAGGCCCCGGGGGGATTATGCACGCGAGCAAGCGCCGTGCTCAACAGCATCCCTCCCGGGCCTAGGGCGCCAATCATGCTCAATCATAAACATGCTTAAATCTAATAAGTCTAACGGCATCTTCCTCATGGGTCTCTCCAAAGTGAAATATTAATGTCCACTATTGAGTTAAGTTCCTTCCATCACAAACACATGCTGCTGGTGACTTTGTCTGATGGGTTTGTCTAAATATGTGATGTAAATAAAGGAATAGACAAAATATTACAGCTGCCACCATAGATGTGACATTCGATAAAGATTTAGGGAGTTTGTCGTCGTGTAGGTAGTAAGCCACAAGAGGGAGGCATTGCACACAGACTCGACAAAGCTGTAGATCCAATAAATTCATTTTAATGTTCTATTATACACACCCGACAACATTTACTGACTTTCCAATCCTCGGGCAGCGCTGTTATCCCTTTATTGTGTTTTTTGCTACACTGTCCTTGTGAATCACATTAGGTTGCAGTCCTGTATGAAATGTGCTAGATAAATAAAACGTCTTCTACTACTGTATATACAAGGTTTAATCTGTAGTGACTATTCTTCATGAATAAATTAGCCTATTTATACTACTTTCATCTTTAAATTACATATTTGTCTTGCATAGAGAATGCTTTTGTTTGGTTTCTTTAGTCCAGACACATCATAAGAATACTTCCATTTTCTGTGTGAAGAAAAGACACATGAGACAAACAAAACCAACATAACTATTGTTGCAAGATATGAAAATACACAATAAATAAACATATCACCTGTTTATGTGCATCGCAGCTCTCGGCTGATTCTGAAGCTTCTATAGGATCCTGATGGAATAACAGTGGAGAGATGCCCAACTAGACAAAACAAGAATGTAATGTAAATGCATTTCTCTGTTTCAACTTTTTATTTTGGCTGAAAAAAGACAACACACAGAGACACCATGTAATTGATTACCCATAAAAATCCCTTTGGATCATTTCAGAAAGAGCACTAACATACCTGGAAGTAATTAATACTTATTTTCATAGCTTTCCCAATGCCATATATCTCATCAAAGCAACTTTAGGTTTTCCTAAACTTATGCCTATAATAATCATATTACCAGGAATTACCAGATGCAGCTGTGTGGCATGAGTGGAATAAACTTGTAACTCACTCCGTTGCCTTATAACCCAGGTCACTTTATGATCTTATAATATTTGAAAACCTGCACTGTTCTATATGTATAAGTGTGTATCTTGTATATTTATATATTAGAATGTTATTATAAAGATTTAATATTTTCGGCTATTTTATTATCTGTTTTGCACCATATTCTGAAGCTAATTCTGGGATTGTGAATTCCTGCTCACTCACAATGACCTAAAGAAGAATTGTGATTCTGATGCATGTAAGGCACCTGTCTGTAGAAGTCGCGGGGGCCCCGGGACATCGTGGTCAAGCTGACCCGGTCTCCGCTCTGCCGGATCAGGCGGACGATGTCGTCGTGCTCCAGAGACTCCGCCGCCTCAGTGTTCACAGCCAGCAGCAGATCTCCGTCCTCCATCCCAGCCTCCTCCGCAGGGCTGCAGCTATCCACCTCCCGCAGCACGTGCACTGGACACAGCAGAGACACAGACAGTAGGGTCGTAGTTACCTGGTGGTGTATTGGCATTTATCAAAAACATATTTACAACAACAAATATATATATATTTTTTATTTAACTTACAGACATGACAACATGTCACATTTTACAATTGATTTATATTTCAAATTTTTTTTGTCCTGTCACACAAATTATTGCTTACCATTTAATATATATATAATAGCAGTGTCCATTGAGAATGTTCGAGAGGTGGAAGACAAAACCTGTTTGTGATGCTTTCATGATATTTACAAATGAGAAATCTACAATGTAACAATAGCAGTCTATAAAAAATCAAACAGTGGACATGCTGGACAAGAAAGGCCAAAGGTAGTTGTACCAGAATAAATTCTTCGGTCATTCCCTGGTTACACTTTTGCTTTTAGTTTTGAAAAGAGGCAAAAAATACTGTGAGTTATATGTGACTCATTACACTGAGAGGACCTTGGATAACACTCAACATGTAACATATTAGAGAGAGTTCGGCCGCTGCATCAGCGAGCGACTGGAGCAGAACCCGAGCGTCCGTCTAGTGTCATTTTATAATAATAGTTGTGTTATACTAATTTAACTCTATTCTAAGCATGTCAGCACAAAGGAAATGTATATGTTTTATCAAATGCCTCATTTAATTACATTTGGGGTACCTAACTTTAACCATGAATAAAACATTTTTCGTACACATTTATTTCAACAGAAAGAATCAGAAAAAATCATTTATTGTGAATAAATCAGACAATCAATTATGTTTCCGAATACAAAGACAGCTATCTTTTTCACATTTGTAAGAAAGCCCTGTGAGTCACAATTTGACACTTAAGACTGATAGGCTTGGAGTGAGGGTAGTGATTTATTTTTCACTTTTCTATATGAAAAAGCTGGGCCTGTACCTCTACCTGTGTCCCCTCCCATAAAAAAAAAAGTCCACATCCATCTTTCTCCGGTCTTTTAAACAGCTGATTAGGCGATGGTCTGTTTCAGCCATAGACTGTATATATTAACGGACAGAGTCACGCCTATCTCCGCCGTTCTAACTAAAGGGTCAAAAAATGTGCTCTACTGGCTGCGAGTGGTCCCGCCCACAAGAAAATTGTGAACAAACGCATCTACGCATGCGTCAGCCGGCGCAAGCTCCATTCATTTGAACGAGAGACTTCAGAAATTCACAGCAAGTAAACTAGAGTGGACAAAAAAATTCACCCCCCTCAGCATTGGGCCAAGAGCCAACTTTTGGTCCATCCTGTAAAGACGTTTTCGAGAGCTCTGCCAATGCTATATGTTAGCATTGGCTAATTCTTCTTCTGGGTCCACCCCCATCGGCCCGGGGTGGTATCGCAAGCATGTCAGCGCACGTCATTTTGGCCACTTTTGAACCGAAACCCGCCCCCACTGGTTTCAGCTGAAGCAGATTCACAGCTGTGTTATTTATTTTTTGCTGCATTTCTGCACTTTTATTGTTTTTCTTCTTGTGTTTCTGTGTTTTTACTAGTGTCTTTGCGTATGCTCACTGGTGCTCTGTCTGCAAATGATGTTCCTCGCGGATAAATAAAGTTATTTGAATTGAATTGTAGTTAGAGGGACTTCATAACAAATATCAAATATAGTTAATTTTTATGTAGTGAAGAAAGTTAGGTACCCCAGCTTTAAGGAATGCACTTTCTTACAGGAGCTACTGGCCTTGCTACACGTTGCAAGAGTCCTGTTTTATGCATAGACTGTATGTAATATATAGTTTTAGATTCACCTTTTTTGTGGCTGCTGCCCATCTTTTCTTGTCTGAGGACAAACCCGTATCCATCTTTGCCTTTGGACAGGTTCATGGTCTTGGCTCTGTGTGGGAAATTGAAACACTCGGCCACTTCAGGGACGATGGGCATTTTCCTTTTTATGAAACACTCCTCGCTGACACCGTCTATGACCAACACAGTCACAGAGTCGGGGCTTTTCCTCAACTGCAAAGAAATAAAAAATGACAAATGATTTTGGTTTGAGTCACTGCTGCTGTAAAAAAGTCTGGTGAAATGATACAGTAAATTCAAAATAAACAGCACATCTTTTCCACAACTCGTCAATCGCTCTGCAGCTGCTAATAAATCATTAAAACACACAAAAACACAATATGAATGTGCACTTATTTTTGTCACTAGCTTCCTACTAAATATTAAACAATACAGAGGTGAGCCTTTTAAAGGACACTAAAGAAATAAAGGGAGAAATCGAGTCATCAACATACTGATAACTTACTAATAAAAGGATCATTTCACAAAACTATACAGTGATACAATCTACAATGTGGCTCTTATTCTACAATATGTTCAGTTATGCTTGAAAGTCTACACACCCAGAGATTATGACTACAACAGTATTAGTTATTTTGCAATTATAGCATCATTTAGCCAATCTGGGGATGTGCAGTTTATTCCAGTTCGGTCAAGGAAATTACAGGGAATAATTGGAGGCTTTTTGCCAACAAGAATGTGCAGCTTTAGCTTCAGAGAGGATACAGAAATGAAGCTCTTCGCGAAAGTTCACTGTGGTAGACCCGGCCACTGCTGCCAGATCTACAAGCCTGCTCATCCTCTACTCATTACACCAGCAAAACGCCCACATCTAATCCACCAATAACCACCAGGACAGCAAGTTAAAAGCCGGAGACGCCCACTTTCCCGGCCTTCTGAAGTTTGCAAAGCCTCCGCCGCCCCACCTCCTCCTTCTCTCATCGAAGCGTGCTTGCCTACTGCTTCTGCCGTCACCAGTGCCTAGGCCCCGGGGGGGATTATGCGCGCGAGCAAGCGCCGCACTCATCAGCATCTCTCCCGGGCCTAGGGCGCCAAACATACTCAATCAACAAACTTCTAACTGCATTTTCCCTCTTGGGTCTCTCCAAAGTGAACCTCATCCACAACCACCACAAAAGCCTCCAAGCTGTCAGAGATGTTTAAGGAGGAATACTTCTGATCAGGGGCAGAAGAGTAGTGTATGTTGTCATTATAATTTCAAAATAGAAAACTTATCTGATTCCAAAGGGTCAATTTTGTTTTTGTGGTTCTTTTGAAAGACACTGATTATTATTAATACTATTTACCTGTATTACCAGTTTTTGCTCTGCAGCCAAAACCTGTTAACAAGATAATGCACATAACCTGTCTTTCAAAAGAGCCAAAAATAAAACATAGAAAATAAAAAATAATCACAAAACATGTTCATTTGACAATTAATGGATTCACACATTCACTAATAATGAGAGGCAAAAAAGTATTTGGGTTATTGTTTATAATCTCCTAAATATGGCCCAGAAACTTGATATTTCTGCTGGCTGTGTGTGTGTACTTTAAAGCACAACTGCATTATATTCATTGTGTACTGTAGTATTATGAATCCATAACTGAGCAAAAAGAGCATTTCAGCAAATATTTGAATGTGTACAGTGTAGTAAAGTGTGTTACCGTTCTGTTGATGGCGGACAGAGTGAGAGAAGAGACTCTGGTGCCGTTGATGCAGATGAGTTTGTCTCCGCTGCAGACTCCAGCTCTCTCTGCTGCTCCTCCGCTCTCTGTGCTCACGATGTACTGCCCTCTGTGACCTGAACACACACACAAACACACACACACACCCACACAAACACACACACACTTAACTATAGCTGAGAGCAAGTACACTTTAAGGATACATTTTAACAAGGAAAGGCAAATGTATCTGTCTATATATCTATATTTAGGGCTCATTCAAGAATACTTTTAAATTGAAATCTATATTAAAAAAAGATGAGGTAAGATACTCCTTAATTGTCTCCCACGTACAGTAGACATTAAACTTCAAACAGACCATAATGATATTAATATTACAGTTAATGGTTAATACATGTAATATTGTATGTGATTTGGCTAATAGCAAATTCGAATCCAACACAACTGAACTTATTCAATGCCTCAATCAACATATTTGTGATAATAATTTGTCCCAGAAATGTTGAAAATATGACATGGCTGGAAATAATGGTCCCAGATCTGAATGTCCACCACCACTTTTACTGTCCATGTGTTTAGTTGTGTTCATGTGACATCACCTTCCAGGGAGATGAGGGTGAAGCCCAGGCCTCCGTCAGGGTTTCGTATGATGTGGCACAGTCTTGGTTTGTGACAGTATTCTCCTTTGAATGATTTCACCACGGACGCCAGATCCAGACCTGAAGACCCAGCCTGGACCAGAGAAGTCATAAACACTGAACAAATACTGATAATAATTATGTTGATTTGGAGGCTGGGAAATGATAGAAAATTGTATAAAACTATACTGCAAATCCTGAGAAGCACAAAGAGAATTATATAAAGAGTTGCTGAATGTAGTGCTGCACAACATTGGGGCTATGGCGATAAGGCTGTCAAGGAAGAAAATGTATTGGATTTTTTCCTATGATTGGAGAATATACTGTATGTGGTTCACTTGCCAGTCAAACACTGAAACAAAATATTCTTAAGAGACAAAAAAAAATAAAAAATACGAAATCAATATTAGGATGAATTCATATTTGATCAGACAGAAATCCAAGGTCTTTCTGGGCCAGGTTTAGTTTTTAGTTGAAGATTGATTATTGCTTCAGCCAACACTATTGCTATGCTAATGCTAATGTGCAATGTACCTGTTCATAGTCGTCTTTCCTCAAAACCAGAAGAAACAGATTACAACCACAAAACTTTATCTTTCTCTCCACCTGCAACAGAACATTTGCAGACATTATCAATCTGCTTTAGTTCTCAAGTAGAGGAACAATGTGTGATCATATAAATACTCTAAAAAATCTCAATATTTAAGTGAAGAGGAAATTTTTAGACAATTCATAACAATTAATATTTTCTATTAAACCAGTGGCCATGAGTATTATTGAGGGGCAATTGGTCTTGCATTTTCACATTTTCAAGTTAAAAAAAAAAAAATATTTCATTTACTTATCATTTTCACAGATTTTCTCACTTTTGTTTTTCTTTCTACAAATTCAGCCAACATATTTATTTTTATTTCCAACTATCTAATTGTAATCATGTCTTTCTCATTTCCCAGACCTTCTCGAAGCGTGCGTTGGTGACATCCTCTTCGTTCACCTCTAGGACTCGGTCTCCAGGCCTCAGTCCGCTCTGCTCAGCCTGGCTCCAGACCTGCACCTCGCTCACCTCCAGCCCCCAGCCCTCCGGCCCGGACCCCCGCAGAGAGAATCCGAAACTCTGCCCCTCAAGCCGCTGCAGGTGCACGATCCGAGGCACCAACACCACTGGATCTAAAGAGAAACACACAAACAAGGAATCTAGCTAACTTTTCCAAAACTTGATGATTACACTGCAAAAATTATGAAATATGAGGTTATAATTGTGTTTTTATCTTAATTTGAGTACATAAAATCACTTTATTTTCCAATTTTTAACAACATTTTCCAATGGGACAAAGCCATTAATCTTGATTCGAAAACTGTTGGTTTATTTTCTCATTTCAAGGGAGACATTTCTTGTATTTTTCAAAAAATATCAAATTCATGTTTGAGCCCATTGTAGCCATTTTTGACTTATATTTCATCACTTTTTTGCACTGTATGGCATACAGTCTCGCTACAGCTGGTTTTTGGGTCACACATGGATAATGGATCTATTTTTTCTATTAACAAAGACAAATTCAAGGTAAACTGTAAATGTATTCAGCAAAAAGAAATACCTCTTTCGCTAGTGTGGCAAAATGCAGATAAAAATAATGTTGGTAGAATTACTCATCCTAATCAGGAGAATTTTTGGGGTTTCCCAACAGAAAGCATCTTGTTCGAGTAACACACTGTCTTTTTCTTATTAGAACTCATTTTATCTTTCACACACTGAGAGCTGATTGGCTGAGTGTGGGAGTTTACTCTCTGTTATGCTGCTGAGCCAATTGGTTTTGAGAGCGAGGAACTAGTTACATGGATTTTACCACTTTTTGAGGTTTAAAATCTAATAATATACAGTAGCTATAATAGTATCACTCACCATCATCGTCATCGTTTATATTCAGAGCTGGGTTGTCGATGCCTTCTTTTGGATTGAAAGTGAAACTAAAACACATCAAAGTATCATATTGTATGTGTCTATGTTAATCAAGAAAAAATAAAAAGATACAGTGGGTCACAAAAGCGGCAACACAACTTGAAGTCATAAATATAATGTTTATGACCACAAACCCTGTCTCGTTACTGCTAAAAATCCTTGTGCTCTCATTGGTCGAAGAAGGTATAATTTGCATATGGAACAAACTTAGAATAGGCTGAAAACACAATTCGAATATAATAAGAATAAAATGCGGTTGGAATAAGACTCGTTCTATCTGCATATCTTTGGGAACAATGGATTACATAGGAAAGGCTTTTTTTCAGTTTGTGCAAATATAGGCGGCCTGAATAATGACAACTATCATTTGACCTAATGGCCTTTACAGCCCTGTAAAAAAAAATCTATCAATGCAAAAGGAAGAAATATATTTCAAAATGATTATTTGTTTTTACATGTAACTGACTGAGTGTGGTGGTCCTCTTCTTCCATGCAATGATTTCTAAAGCCATTAAAAAACAATAATGAATCCAAACACAGGGAGCGACCGTGACCGTGCTTTTATAGTCGTCATAAAGGTTACGTTGTTTAAGTTTATCTCTAAATGATAAAAGACGTCGCTGTCTGGTTATATAACTGTCACAGCATCGTGCAAGAAAATCAGAATAAAAATGCAACATCTCACCGAGGGACGTCCCAAATGTCACGGGAGCCTGGGGACCAAAGGACATAGTCAACACATGTACTCCTCCAACTGGATCGTGAATGATGTATTAGATTAAAGTTGTTTGACAGTAACAATAACTGAATATGAATATGAATAACTGAATTAGCAAAATGTACATAAAACCATGGAGAAAATATTTGTTTCATTTCAATTTTCAATACAATACCATCATAATTATCATTTTACAATAACAAGAATCCCAATAGTCCCAAAGTTTTATTTTTGTATCAAAAATCTTCAGAGGCGACTTTTGAAAGGCAAATAGCAGATGAGATTAAATATTTAAAACAGTTGTTAGTAAAAACAAACAGATAAACCTTTTTTTTTTTGAGAAGTAAAGTTATTATTTTGGTTTGCACTTTACTTTGTACAAGACAAATGTAATATTATATTTAAATCTCATCTCGGTTTGGTTTACATTTATAATTCATCAAAACTTCTGTAATGTACAAAAAACTAAATTATAAGAAAATAGATTGATTTAGTGAATTTGGTAAAGTTATTTATGAGTCCAGGTAATGTGTTTGTTGTAACTTATGACAAACAGTTCCCATCCCCCACTTTTCCATCCATCCATCTTCTTCCCCTTAATCCATTTCTGGGTCGGGGGTGGCAGTCAGAGGTGGACCCAATTCACATAGCACCAGTCCCTCACTGATCCTCTGCAGGTGGTGAGTCCACAGGAGGACGGCTGCTCTGTCAGTGACAATACGGCCTTGATTTTTCAGCGGGGGCTTCAGGCAATGCAGGGTTAGGTGTCTTGCCCAAGGACACAACGACAGCAGTCATCAGTGGGAGTCAGTGGAGAAGGTCCCGTGGTGGGCTTGAACCCACAACCTTCAGGCTCAAAGGCCAGTGCTCTACCAACTGAGCTACTGTTGCCCCCACTTGTAAATTATTTGTAAAAGGTGTCATTCAACGAGAAACAGCCAAAACAAGAAAAGCACTTGTAGAGCGCAGACCCCCGCCAAGAGGCACAGTTCCATTTCTTAAAGATAATCCTGGATGCAGACGGTGGTCCAGATCACCTCCAAAAGGAAATAGTTTGTTCCATTTACAATGTCTGGTACATCACCCCCGTCAGCGGTAATTAGAAAATCATTCTATTGTCAATGTCCCGGAGCATCCTCTGTTTTTAGACCTTCTCCTTGTTTAATTATCAACTTTTGCATCAAGAAAACTATAGCTATGAGATTCAATTCTCTTTGTACAAACTGTAGTGAGTAAAGCTTGGTGGAAGATGACTTAAAATAATGAAGCCATTTCTGTTTGAAGCTTGAACTCGAGGTCATAATCACAGCTTCTTTGCATTCCTTAATCATGTCCTCAAAACAATGGGAGCACTGTTGCAGAATGAGGCAGAATCAGTTAATTAAAAAGCTTAAGTCTTCACCTGTCTGCGTCTTCATGTTGTCGTCTTCCAGCAGCGCAAGGTTCACTCCATGAGGACAATAAAGACACAGTTAAACATTGACAGTGGGTCATTAAAGTCCTGAAACCAGAAATACCACCTCCTCTGCTCCTCCCTGCAGACCAGCTCTACACAAACATTACAGAACTTATTAATAAGTCTTTGGTGCAAATACATCATAAGCACTAACTTTCCCAGTCGTCTTTTCATTCAGATACAGAAACTACTAGACTGCTCCCATTCAAACCCTTGATATAGTTAGAATTTTTTTTTCACCAATTATGTTAAAAGAAAATAATTTAAATGATTTTTTTTTTTTTTTTACCTTTTAATAAGTGCTAAAACTAGTAATTATAACTGAAATACAGCAACAACAAAAAAATGCTAATGCTAACTTCTGACAGTGTGTTGCTATGGAAACTAGCACTTCATATTCTCAGGTGTCTATTTTCACAATAAAAAAAATATATAACAAACAAAGTTCAAAGGTAGAACTACTGACATTTAAAAAGTATAAAAATAATGTAGTATATTTATACTTTTTTATTTTTTAAAACAGCACTCACAAGACAAGGCAAATATTTCTGTGCACCATTCTTTCAACATCAGCTCGGGTCCATATGTAAATGCCATAATCTGTTAAAAGATGAATCTGAAGTTAAATATAGGCACAATATAAGAGGCTAAAACGTGCAAAATAACAACATTGTTATTGAGTCTCTTTGAGGCAGAAGGGTCGTTACACAGCCCTTATCTGAGAATGCATCGAACAAAACAGCGGTATTGCATGGAAGATTTATTAGTTTGCCTAAATAACAAGAGATTAGGGGTTCTAAGAAAGCTCTTTCTGTTTAAGCAACAGTGCCCTCTAGTGTACGTTGTAGTCATACACAAAGGTGTAATTTTGGCTCAAAATAGCTCCACGTCATTTAAAGAACTGTTGGATCAAAAGTTGACACATCTGCTCCTATGTATTCATACAAAGTCCGATTTGCAGAAAATATTAATCAGATGTTCCAGCTCTCAGATTTGACACATTACCCCCTACAGAGTTACACCAAATGCATTGTGGAGAAAATAAATGTTTAATGGCAATAGGTAGTGTCTTTTTTGTTTAAATTAATAATACAACAACAAAAAACCATGATATGCTACGATTTGAAAAGCATTTATAAAATTCATTAATTCTCTTAAAAACGTCACATATACAAGTAGGTGGCAATTTGGACTAAGTTAGTTCAAATCACCACCAAAGTTATTTTGAATCAATACACATCGTTCATATTCCCTGAAACAACACTCATCTAACTTTATTCTAAATCAAAGTAACGGCCACTTTCTGTTTCCCTGAATGTTTCCTACGACAGTACATGTTACAGTCTCAGTTTTCCCTTATGTGTTGAATCCACGTTAAATGGCTGTTGTAAGTTCTTACTCTACAGCTGTCTAAAGATGACAAAGTAAAATATTGTTGTTCTGGTACTGTAGACTGTTTTTAAAGGATGGGCAGTAACCCGTTATTATAGTAGATCAATGGCAGTAACCAACTCGCTTGAAGCCAGAATGAGAAGTGCTCAGTTGGGAAGTTTCTTCAAAATCAAACAACTCATACTATCTAAGCGTCTGCATCACACTCCTCCTTCTGGGCTTTATATTTATTCTTAACGCTGTGCATCCAGTGTCTTTGTAAATCAAGATATGTTTGTTCCTAAAATTCAGCTCGGGTTAGGCAATAGTGCAAGTTTGAACGGACCAACCTCAAACCGTATTGGCTCTAAGGTTGCTATGAGGTTGCGAGGAGACAATTTTACTTTCATTTCAGCCCATGCAACCTGTTAGAACAGCTAAACTAAGACTTCAGGTTAAAGCCAGACACTATGGGTGATGTCACACTCATTACATCCGCTCCTGTGTCCAGTTTCTGTTTAGCTCTATGTAATTGTTACTTTAGGAACAATAAAACATGCCCTCACTGTCTGTAGCAGTTTTCAGATCACACAAAGCATGCACGAGGACACAGTTATTTTGGAGGTGGCTGGTTGCGCACGTCGCACGCGTGGATCACATCGCGTTTTTCCAACTGTTTCAGAGTCTCCCGGATTCCCCTCTCCACGCGCCGAAAGTGAAGCCTCTTCCAGAATTTGGGCTGTTGCTGCCGGCCCCACTCCAGATCTCGCAGGAAAACCTACACGAGACAAACAGGAAGACAATAAATAAATATACTGGATGGTGTTCTTGATGAAGCACCACTAGATCGGTCTAATTGAAATGTTTTAAAAAGGTTGACTAAACTATGATCTGACCAAAACAATAGAATCACATACATGCATTTCAGATTCATGCTGCTAAGATCTGGAGTAATATTCCTGAAAATGTGAGACAGGCCTCATCTCTGACAATTTTTTGATCTTGTGGTTCTACAACATTCATGGGCATTGGTCTCTCCCTATCGACCAATTCATATGTGTATATTTTCTGTCTTAACTGTTGATTATCTGATCTGTGTTGGTGATTTCAATGGTTTTGTTAAGTCCTCTGAGATGCTGTTGTGATATAGAGCTATACAAGAAAAAGTTGTTGTTGTTGTTGTTGACAATTTAGCTGTTTAGGATTTTATTATTTTGATCTTTCTTTTCAATGTACTGTAATTATTTATTATTTGAATGCTATCTTGATTTGTTCAGCACTTTAAGTTTAAGCCTTGTGTATGAATTGTGCAATACTTGCCTTGCCTTGCCTACATTTCCAACTATGTTACAGTATAAAATATTTGATGAGCATCAAAAATTATGTTTTAAATTAATCTTCACATAAACTGCCACAAGAGACACAACCCACAGATACATTGTTGTAACATTATCCCTCTCATTACCTGGAAACTTGGAATGTAATGTTACAACTGACCACAGCTCAAGTCAAAATATTCATGTTATTTAGAAATGAACTTCAGAGTAAATATTTAAAATATCTTGAAATCTTATAAATGATCTAAAAATTCCTGAATTAAAGTCTATTTGACCATGTGATTAAGCAAATATCTGTATCAGGATGATTTTGACCAAGTATTTTCCGATACAGAGTCCTAAAAAAAAATGCCTGAAATTCCTGATAAAAAATAAACAAAATCTTTATATTTTGGTAAACTGAGTTGCGCTCCACAGACCCTCTGGTGCGGCATTACACTTCAGGTTTTTGAGCAGCTCAAAACATCTGTCAAAGTAATAACATCAACCCCATCAGAGAATTTGCACAATGCCACATTTTAATGCACTAATTAACAGACGGATTTCTTGATGCATACTTTAGAAATATAACGAAGTTGTCATGCTTTGAACTGAATAATATTAATGATAGTATGTGTGTGTAATGAGGATTTACCCTGAGCTGCTGCTTGACACGCTCTCGGTCCCAGGACTTGGCGTTCTCTCGGATCACGCTGAGGATGGGGTGCCAGTCCTCGGACAGGTCGGAACCCTCTGTGACCGAGGCCAAGACCCGGACTTTACGCCCGGTCTTACTCTTGTCGCCGCGGACGTAGAGAGACTGTTTCCCTACGTCACTCAGAGGGTTAAGGTACAAGCTGCACAGAGGACAGAGGGGGATGGACCACATAAATGTGTGTTTTGTCATAAAGAGATTCATATGAGTCAATTTAAAGACAGAGTACCTGACTTGTTTCATAAATACATTTTGTTTTTCGCAACAGAAAGAGTTGGCCATTTTGGAACTATTTTTGCTTATTAATAACCATGTACTGTGATTATTCATGATTTGAATGCCTTGTGTGTTTGTTACTATGATTGTTTTGTTAAGTCCTTTGAGTTGCCTTGAGTGTGAACTGTACTATACAAATAAACTTGCCTTGCCTTTCCTCATCTTGTGCATACTGAAAGCTGGAAAAGCTGATCTAAAGATGTGACAGAGGCCCAAAAGACATGCATGCGAAAACTAAAGATAGAACCACACTGTTTAGAGTGCGAGGGACTAGTTAAGGTACACTACCGTTCAAAGGTTTGGGGACACATTGAGATGTCCTTATTTTTGAAGGAAAAGCACTGTAGATAACGTTAAACTAGTCTTAACTGTAAAGAAATACACTATACATTGCTTATGTGGTAAATGACTATTCTAGCTGCAAATGTCTGGATTTTGGTGCAATGTTGTAATTGCTGCAAATGGAGGATTCTTTGACGAAAGCAAAGTTGGATGTAAAACAAATCTTATTTCAAATACAAATGATTATTTCTAACCTTGTCAATGTCTTGACTCTATTTTCTATTCATTTCACAACGTATGGTGGTGAATAAGTGTGACTTTTCATGGAAAACACTTGGGTGACCCCAAACTTTTGAACGGTAGTGTACATGGATTGTAAAGGTTCTTTTGTGTTTTCAAAGTTAGGTACTCCAGCTTCAAAGTGGACATAACCCGATTCTGTTCTCTATAATATAATTATCTTTGACCTCTGTAGCTCTTCATCAAATATATGGTTCATATGAAATGTTTAGATTGAGCTAAAAACACTCCACATACCACGGATTAGGAAAGATACTAAAACCCAGGGGAGGTGCTAGGTGCAGAGGACTGAGGAAAGAGCAATGCCGGTGCGCGTATGTGAGGATATAAATAACCCAAACGTGCCTGAATCCCCTAAATATTGTGTGTGTAAATGATAAGGGAGAATAACATGGCCAAGAGCTGAGAAAATACTTTTTAGGTCATGTCCCCTTTAATGGACTATTGACAATTTTCAGCTTTATTGATCCTTTTTTCTCCCTCATTTCTCTATCCACATATCATGGATTCAGAAAAGGAAATTGCTAAGGAAGATGTTGGCAGACAGAGGACTGAGGAGAGAGCAATATCGATGTGCGTTTGTGAGGATATAATAAATGCGCTTTAAACAGCTTTGTATGTGTAAATGACTGACAGAAGTAGATTTTTAGGTTATGTTAGGTGAGGTTTAGCCTGGTCTTACACATTTCATTTCATACTAAGGGAAATAATTGAGTTCACAGATGGACAGGGCCAAGTTAGGTTATGTCCCTTTAGATTATGTGACTATTGAACCTTTATGGGCGGCACGGTGGCTGAGTGGATAGCACTCTCGCCTCTCAGCAAGAAGGTCCTGGGTTCGAATCCCGGTCGGACCAGGGCCTTTCTGAGTGGAGTTTGCATGTTCTCCCCGTGTCTGCGTAGGTTTCCTCCGGGTACTCCGGTTTCCCCTACCACTAAAAATATGTACAATAGGTCTGGCATGTGCCTCCTGTACTGGCAACCCCACTCCCATCTCTGTGTGGAGTGAGAGACAAATGCCCAAAATTAACAATTGTAAACCGCTTTGAGACTCAGATCTGCAGTGAAAAGGCGGTATATAAATAAAAACTTACTTACTTACTTACTTACTTACTTATACTGTTATTCCTCTGTTGTTTTTGCTATAAATCAATAAATCTCCATCCATCCATCTGAGACTCACTGCAGCGTGTGGACTGTGGGGTGTTCCCGGCAGGCGTCCACCAGACTCAGTGCTGCGTTGTCACCGATGTTGTTGTAGGCCACGTTCAGCTCCTCCAGGCCGCTGTGGGAGTGCAGAGCCTGAGCCAGCTCCACAGCGCCACCATCTGCCAGCCCCGTGTGCATCAGGGTGAGGTGACGCAGGGACTGGTTCTCCGGCAGAGCTTCTAACAGAGACAAGGCTCCGGCGTCCAGGATGGGGTTATCACAGAGTCTGAGGAGACACGAGGGAAGTCAGAGAAAGAGACCGAGATCTTAGTTTAGTTTCAAGTAGGATCTAATGACAGAACTGAAATGAGCAGAATTGGAATGCAAATTAAATAAGTTACTGTATTATAGTAAAAAAAAAAAAAATGCCACACCTCTTTTTAGATGGAAAATTGACGGAAATGTAATTGCTACATTTTTCTTTGGTTTGTAATTATGCATTTCAAGACAAGCACATATTATATAAGATTATATAGATAAGAAAATCTATATTTGTCCCCGTTCATAGCATGTTTTTTTTTCACTTTTATGAAACAGGAAAAAAAAAATGTCTCTTTCTTTAAGAGCATTAAAATAATTAAACAGAATGTTCAGAGTGGGGCAGCACAATCTGGCAGAATATCAAATATTGTTTTTTTCTGGACAAACACATCAATAAGGATTCTATTCATAATTATAAATGAATAATGGATTTTTTTCCTTCTACAACAACAATACATTATCTGTAACTGTTTCACGTTGAAGCATGTTTCACTTGTTTGAAGCTACTTTCTTTAAACATGTATTAAACACAATTTAATGTGGCTGATTCTTTGGCAATCAGCCAATAGCCACTTAAACTCGGATTGTGATAAAATTAGATTACATTTTGATTTATAATTGACTTGCTAATTCTGAAATGTATTGATTTTACATTAAAAGAGGAACGATATCTAAAAAAAATATCACTAAGAGTAAAACCATTCAAGAACATGAGAAATAAAAGACAGTTCATGTATTCTCGTCTTGCTCTTGCTTGATAAGATAATTTAAGATAATCTTTATGGATAAAACAGATCAAGACTGTTCTTTGAGCCTTATTCCATAGCGCAATTTTAGCTTTTAGATTTCAACCACACATCATGTTGCTTTATATACTGCACATGAATTTAACTCTATAATTCTAACCAAACTTATTCCCAAAACTGTAATAAATCCTTCTTACTGCAGACTCTTAATGCAGCTCTTGGGATCCAGGAGCAGGTCTCTCAGCAGCAAACACGACTCTGGGCCCAGACTGTTAAACTGCAGGCTTCAAACAACATGCAGCGTTAGACTGTGTTAAAGTGAATGTCTGAGAAACATGGAGGAGAGAGAGGAGAGAGAGGAGAGAGAGGAGAGGAGAGAGGAGAGGAGAGAGAGGAGAGAGGAGAGAGGAGAGTGAGAGGAGAGAGAGAGGAGAGAGAGGAGAGAGGGAGGAGAGAGAGGAGAGAGGAGAGAGAGGAGAGAGGAGAGAGGAGAGAGGAGAGAGGAGAGGGGAGAGAGGAGAGAGGAGAGAGGAGAGGGGAGAGAGGAGGAGAGAGGAGAGAGGAGAGTGAGAGGAGAGAGAGAGGAGAGAGAGGAGAGAGGGAGGAGAGAAGAGAGAGAAGAGAGAGAGGAGAGGGGAGAGAGGAGAGGAGAGAGAGGACGGAGGGAGGAGAGAGGGAGGAGAGAGAGGAGAGAGAGGGGAGAGAGGAGAGAAGAGAGAGAGGAGAGGGGAGAGAGGAGAGGAGAGAGAGGAGAGAGAGAGAGAGAGAGAGGAGAGAGGAGAGAGAGAGGAGAGAGGGAGGAGAGAGAGAAGAGAGAGAGGAGAGAGAGGAGAGAGGGGAGAGAGGGAGGAGAGAGGGAAGAGAGAGAGGAGAGAGAGGAGAGAGGGGAGAGAGGGGAGAGAGAGGAGAGAGAGGAGAGAGAGGAGAGAGGGGAGAGAGAGGAGAGAGAGAGGAGAGAGAGAGGAGAGGAGAGAGAGAGGGGAGAGAGGAGAGAGAGGAGAGAGGAGAGAGAGGAGAGAGAGAGGAGAGAGAGAGGAGAGGAGAGAGAGAGGGGAGAGAGGAGAGAGAGAAGAGAGGAGAGAGAGAGGGGAGAGAGGAGAGAGAGGAGAGAGGAGAGAGGAGAGAGAGGAGAGAGGAGAGAGGAGAGAGGAGAGAGAGAGATATAGAGAGTGGACTGAGAGCCTACATCATTTGAATGGTGGTGGATACCAAGCAATGAAAGAGATTGTATGACTTTCTTACTTTACTTACTTTTTTATTCTTTAAATATACTTGAATCTACAGACATTCACTTTGATCATTACGTGTTAGTTATGCAACTAAACACACACACACACACACACACACACACACACACACACACAGCTTAAATGCAGAATGAAATCAGCAACAAAGTAACAGAATGTAATTTCACAGATTCTGCTTCTATTTCGTGGTCTTTCAACAAGTTCGTGGTTGTAAGTATGACAACATTTCCATTATTTCACTAATATTTGTCCAATATTTAAGTTGCATTAGTAATTTTGCAAGCCACTATAGGTATACATAACAACTGCAAGCACTTATTTACTAGTTATTGATTGTATTTTTTTTGGGTTTATCATAAGGATAAGGAATGCAGAAAACAGGCAGTCCCTTATGTCTTTACTTTTGTCCATGCTTGTGTACATATACTGCTATTAAAATACAATTATCACATCGCAGTAAACTCAACCATGCCATTACTAAAATGCGATATTGTGCCACCACTTAGAATAGAATACTGTACATATATATATATATATATATATATTACTACAGTCACTCCACAGCAGTCACGGCAGCATTAGCAGCAGCGGTAACAGTAGAAAGCATCTCTTACTTGAGGTGGTGCGTGTGTCTAAACGCAGGCTGTAGAATCCTCAGCATGTCGGGAGTCAGCAAACAGGAGGACAGGTCCAGCACCTCCAGATGATAACTGCAGCCGACGCCAGGTTAAGCAAGTGTAAAAAGTAATGAGCGTCGGTGTCAACGTGTGTAAAAGTCACAGCAGCAGCAGAGAACAGGTTGAGACACATTCACTATACAGCAGGTTTGAAAAGTCTATTCAGGGATTAGCAGAAATGAAAGTGCAAAATACATCTTTAAATCAGTACAACTTACACCTGAAGCTAATACAATAGCATACACTACGACAACATGTATTTCTGGCCCTGTTTTTCTAATTTTCTGAACAGTTGGGGTGGACATAACAATAGAATTATGCCCAGCAGTAAACTATGCTGGATAGATGGAACATTCATTTATAAGAGGCAGAAATGTGGCTGTAGAGAAGCAAGAAGTATTGTTTACTGTAAGGAGAGCATTGTTTTGTGTTAAAGCTGGGGTATCTAACTTGTTTTTCATGAACAATACATGGCGTCCACACAACATTCTGTCTTTCTCCTGTTAGAAAACTTGTTAGTTAGAAATAGTGACTCACAGCAGTGCTCTTTCAATGTTAAAATCCAGGTTAAAAACAGTTCTGTTTAGCTGAGCATACAACTGGAGGATTGTGTCTTCGCTCCTTTTTAATTACATTTTTTTTTTAATGCCTTGTGAGTTTGTTTCCATCTTGTTGTGTTAAGCACTTTGATCACTTTTGTATGAACTGCGCTATAAAAATAAACCTGCCTTGCCTTGCTTTGATGTGTTGGGCTGAGAGGTGTTTGAGTGTGTGTGGTTCTCTCTCTCTTTTTCACTTCCTGTCTGAAAAAACTGATCTAATGCTATGTGCGGAGATACTTACATACAATACATAATTGTGAAAACTAGTGATGGCACCAAACAGTTTCTTTTAATGAATAGTTGAATGTATTTTGGTTTTAAAGTTAGGTACCCCAGCATGGTAAAAGAATGCATATCCAGAGTATATCAAGATAGAATAAGGTAAAATAATCATAGCCCCTTCCCTATGTATGCCATTAGTTTAGTTTAATTTTGTATAGTTGATTGCGTTGTGATGTTCCCGCTGGTTGTGTGTTACCTGGAGGGAGTACAAGAGAGCACGGAGCTGAGGACGTAGCACTTTAGTGGGGTCATGCGGATGTTACAGAGGCGGATGGAGCGGATGGTGGACAGGACTTCGGCCGTGAGTCTGGGGTTCTGGAACTCGTAGAGCAGGATGAGCAGGTCCACCACCTCCTCCGGGGGCTGCGGCTTACTCAGCTCTGAGCCACAACACGTTGCATGGAAGAGACATGACAGGAATCATCATTATTTCTTGCAAGGTAGGGCGGTCACCATGTTCAAAAGATTTCAAATTGTTGTATTTATCTTTGATGGTATACCAAAAAAATGTGCGTACTGTGAGATTTCATAACACGTACAAATAATAAAATAAAGACTACACTTAAGTTTTTTAATTAGAAAATTTTAAACTATCATATACACTTAAATACTCCTTAATGAAGCTTTTATTTGCTTATCTCTATCATTTGCATTGTTCATTGCATAAAGCCCATTGCATTTTATTAAACTATTAAAAATGTTAACACTGCAATAACTTGATATTTATATTACAAGATAATTTCCTTTACAGACATCAAATGATATCAGAGAAGTATTATCAACCAATAAAATTATGATCGATTTGAATTCCCAATCCCCATGCGTGTGTGTGTGTGTGTGTGTGTGTGTGTGTGTGTGTGTGTGTGTGTGTGTGTGTGTGTGAATGGGTCATTGATCTAAATTACTGGAGTGGAGTGGAAAACCGTTATTCCACAAGCCATGAACAAATGATGACAGTGAAGCCTTCCTGTTGCAAGTATTGGACAACTCCTGCTCACCTCGGACCAGATACTTGCGCAGCGCTTTGGTGATCTGGGCCACGGTGTCGTTGTGGATGGTGCAGCCGAGCTGTTGAAGCAGGACTCTGTTCCCGTAGTTGAGCAACCCGCCCATGAAGATGGGGTAGAGCTCAAAGGGCTGCTGCTCGGTGCTCTGGGGCGCCTGTGGACCGTGCACCCCCAGCAGGTTCTGCTCCACCTGGTCCAGCACGTCCTCGTTATTACTGTCCTCGTCTCGAAACATCTCTGTGGCCAAAGTGCGACCGATGCGGCCCTTGTTCTGGAGACTGAACTTCTCAAACAGTTTGGGGAAGAGCTTGAGGAGGTTGAAGATGGTGAAGATGCGCAGAGGGATGAACTTTGAGATGATGGTGAGGAGAGCATTCACGTCCTCGCTGGCCTGTCCGATGGCTGTGGACACTTGTCTGTTAGAAGGAAAAATCACAGTTAATAAATTATAATGAATCAGCATTATTTATGGCGTTTTTTTGACTCAAAGATGCTTCACATGTCATTATTCTTTCACTCCATACTGTACTTGATGGTAATAAAATAAAGGGCCACTGCTGCCCTGGGCCACACAGGCCACACGGGGCAGCACATCTTCTGGGGAACACAGTATTTCATTTCCATCTTCGATCCTAGACCTCTGCATCGTTTGTCATTTTCCTCACTACAATAGAGGAATTTACTTTTCAATGTAAGACAATAGAAGCCAAAGTGAGTTGGAGTAAAACCTTGTCCATGTGCTATCGTCCATCCCTATTGGGCTTCATGGAGCTAGCAGGTTAGCATTACCCACCTATAAACAGTCTATCATTCTATCACACAGAGACAGTACACAAATGACTTACTTGGTGAGTTTCTCCAGAGCAGTTTTGTTTTCCCCCAGAACCACGTACAGAGCAGCGAGGTACTCCTGCATGGCCGGAGCCGCGAACACGTATCTCTGCTCTTCGTGCTCGCTCGTCTCTGCCGACACAACGGTACTTCTCTCCACACAGGGGGCCAGGAAAAAGTCCAGCACGTCAGTCCTGAACATGGCCAGCTGCCTCAACTCCTCGTCCGTTTTGGTTTTGCCCCCGATCCACTGCTCCAGCTCCTTCTCCGAGAACGACATGCGCTTGTTGGTGACCCCGTCGAAGGCCAGTTTCCCCACGGTGCGGACCACGTACAGCATCAGGGAGTTGTGGTGTTCCTGGATGGGTGTTCCGGCACCTGAGCCCATTCCCAGTACCTCCCCGCCAAAGTTCAGCCTCAAAAAGCTGGTGTAAATTCCGGTGAGGGTGCGGATGGGTGCGTTGGCGTTGGTGAAGTGGAGGAAATGCAGTGTGGCGCAGGTGAGCCAGCAGTAGGAAGGTAGAAAGCAAGCGGCTGCTAACTGGGTTTCTCTCTGCAGGTTGAGATAGAGGAGTTCGACGAGGGCCTGGGCCGCCTCTTTCTGCGGAGCGTCACCGGTTTGTTGGAGAAGGCGGCTCGCGAAGTAGGCCCTCTGACGGTCCGGGTCAATGAAGCCGCAGATCTGAGCGTAGCGGCTGATGTATTTCTGAGGAACTCGGTCCAGAGCAGAGAGACGGGTGGTGACCAAGACACTGGCCTGAAGGGAACAGGGCAAACATGTCATTAGGTAAAGTATAAGTGCACACTGGGGTACTCTTGCACAGTTATTCCAATGTGGTTTTACTGTAACTGGCAAATAAAAGAGAATCTGAATGTATTCACCTCGGAAGCATTTTAGTTTTATTTTGATTTATACAGTATATACTTGGGTTACTGGGCGGGTGTGCGGGTGTGCGTGTGTGCGTGTGATCATAATTCTAATAAACACCTCATTGTCATATGTTGCAAGTGTTGATATTGTGTTAGCACATTCCTAGTTCTTAAAGGTGATGTCAGCGAGCTAAATTGAATTTCATTTTTAAAGCAATGTACATTTCTGAAGTAAGTATTTTTCAACAACAATATGTTTGAAATAGACTGAAATTCACATTAAAAGCTAAGGGTACCCATTTGCTCGGGGTACGTGTAAAATAGAACTATGTAATTAAATCCACCATAACTACTGTAGTTCCAAGCTCAAAATATTTTCCATCTACCTCTAGCTTTCTCAAGCATGTGTTTTTGGACTTACAGGATCATTTCTAACAAGTATGCAAAAGACAACATATTTTCTGATCAGTTGTTTTGTTCACAACATTTCACTTTTCCAGGACTCTTTCTGTTGGGACAGATACAGATAACATTGATAACTTTGGCGTCACCTCTGGCAGCAGATATTTGCGGAGCAGGTTGACCACCACAACACCAGGGGGCAGTGGTTCGTTGGGGTCGCTGCAGAGCTCAGTGGAGCCGATCCTAAAGTCCAGCTTCATCTTCTCCAGACCGTTGAAGAGAAAGAGGACGTCACGCGCACAGCCCCCCTCCCCGCTCAGCAGGGGGTGTCTGCGCAGGTGCAAGTACTTACGGCCCACCAGGTCACGCAGAGAAGACACTCTGAACAAAGGGAAATGGACAAAGAAAAAAAGTTTATTTAGTTTAGAGCACCCGTTAGAGGAGATGAATAATGCCAAACTGTCTTTTTGGAGATTTAAACCATGTTACATTGCTCCCTCTGCCATTTTTGTCTAAATACTCCTATCTCAAACTTTGTACACTATGACAATAAGTATAATCTCAAAATTAGTTTTGCCAATTTTCCAATTTCTTTTCTAATTAAATTACGTATTTTACAACTGTCTGGCTCAATTATAAGTGCACCATATTCATGTTGGGAAATATTACAGAACGTATTTTTGACACTTCTACCACCAGAGGGAGCTGTTTTACCACTTCAGATCATCTTTAGACCAACAAACCTTTTTACCCAAATTTTTTGTACGTATTATTATTACTTATTAGTTGACGTTCTAAAGCATGACATGAAAGTTAATATACTCAAGAAAAGATCATGTTTAAGGGATAAAATCAATTCAAATAATTCATAATATTTTTCCTACAAGTGAAAAGTTATGACTAATGATTATTGAGAAAACGTTCTACAACCTGCATGTTGCAATACGTTCAATGAAATAAACAGGTTGCATTCAGTCAAATCGGACGATCCTGGGATTAAGGTTGAGCCTCTCCGCTTCTCAATTGGTTCAAATGACAATCCAGGAATGCTACAAGAGCTCATGACATTGAGTATTATAGTACATTTTGTTTGTTTCACCTCAAATTTTCACAAAATGTCAACACCTAAACAAGTTAATCAGTAAAAATATTGCTAATTTTGATCACACATGCTCATGAGATATATATATATTCATACAGTCTATATCCAATTTGTGAGCGATACAATGTTTAGAAATTGGTTAAGGATTGTATAAAAAATATAATATGACATTTGTTTACACGTATTGTTTTTGGGGCCCCACCTAAACGCTAATGCAGCTTCCCTTTTACAAAACACTTACAAACTTTGGACAATAGAATGTGTATGACTTGAATTGCTATGAAGTTTTATAAATAAAGAGAATCGAATTGAATTGAACAATAAAATGGACTAACCCAGTACCATAGTGTTTGCCAATTAGAGCTTGCCCAAACAGGCTCCATGGGCAGAATCTGGAGCCAAATCCGTGGGTAGCAATGACCCAGCGACTAAAGAGCCAATTGGGAGCGGCGCCAGTCTGTTTTTGCTCAGTCCTCAATGAGACATGAAGCAGCAGGTTATCCTTTATACCAAGCAGGAGCACACCAAAGTCCTGCCAGTTCATTGAGTCTTCAGGGTAAGACTGGACTCACTTCAGGATATGTATGGAGACTGGAGACTTCTCTGACACTGTTCAAATTCAGGTTAAAATCAGTTGTTTAGCTGTGCATACAACTGAAGGATTTTATCTTTACTCTTTTTAATGTACGGTGATTATTTATGATTTTAATGCCTTGTGTATGAACTGTGCTATACAAATAAGCTTGCCTTGCCTTGGTGTTCTCCTGCTTGGTTGGAATGAAAACCTTCAGCCAGACCGGACCTTTCTGGACTGGTTTGAAGACCACGGGCCAACAGCGTTCAAAAGATAAGTTTTTGGTTTTTATGTGTACCGGTATATAGATTTCTGTATTTTTATGTGTTTTTTACTGTCTTTACAGCACTTAAAGATTTGATTGATTGATTTGATAACCCATTCTTACTTGGAGAGTTGGCTGAGGTCCTCACAGGAGAAGGGGACGAGCAGTCTGAACTGGCCCAGGGTCCGGCCTCGGCACCAGTCCTGCACCAGTTTTCGGACCACGGTGCTCTTGCCGGTGCCCACTGCCCCGTACAGCAGCACGTTGAGCCCCCTGGAGGAGTCCCAGGACGGGCTGGGATCAAACAGCTGCTCCATATTTTTGGAGAAGAGCTGAGAGTCCGGGCGCAGGGCGGAGGAGAGAAGACCAGCCCTGTCCTCTGGCTTCCTCTCCAGGATCAGCGGGTCCACGTGCATGGTCTCTGGGCTGAAGGAGCCACCGAACTGCTTCTCCTCCTGAGGCAGGTGACTGAACCACATCAGGAGCCGCTGTTTGTGGATCTCCAGAGCATCCAACTCGGCTGAGGATACAAAAGACAGGCTTTGACTGACAGTTGCCTTGAGAGAGATCCTTGTGAAAAAATGTAATTGAAACAGGTTGTATGTCCCATTACTACATTTGTACAAGTCAAAAGTGTCTCCGTTTTTCTGACTTCTCTCCAGATTTCTCATTTCTGTGTTGGTGCATCACTTAAAAGCTTCCATAGAAATATAAACAATTAAAACTCAAACTCTGTATTTACATTAGCGCTGTAGTTGACAAAATCAATTCTTGAACCCAAGGTCATTGATGAGGGAACTGGGGGATGAAGACTTCTGGTCATTGTAATTTGAAAATAGAGTGTAATGTATGGATCTTTCATGGGACTTTTTGTGAAAACCTGATAAACCTGTTAAATCTGAGCTTACAACACCCAGTAGAAATCAATACTTTTCCACTGGATGTTTTGGTTTCTGAAGGTCAAAGCAAACTTATCTACTGGAAACGCGGCAATTCCTTTAGGGGAGCTTTTGTATGATTGCATTGGTATAAAATCATATAAATACTGTGAAACGCTTGTTGTCATTTATTCTGCGTACCAATGATAAAACATGTCTTCTGCTGTGACACGATCCCAGACCTCTGTCATTTTCTTTACATGTTTCTTTGAAAATAAAAGGAAAGCTTTAAAGCACAACTGTGTGTGACCTTTACCTGGCTGAGGGGCAGCAGAAGTGCAGTAGATCTTGAAGCTGGTTCCACTTGTTGCACAAACACAGCTCGGTGTCCAGGACGTCCTCCTGCAGTGACCCAGCAGCTGAGTCAGCCTCCTGCACACAACACATGCAAAACACACACACACACACACACACACACACCCACACACACGCACATATTCATGCACTGATGCTTCAAAATACACTAATCCACTCTAAAGGTGAATACAATCCCACAGTCAACACAGATCAGTGAGACGTGTTCAAACAGGCTGAAGTTTGTGAATAACCCTCAGGCAGAGTCCAGAGAGAAAACACAAAATAAAACATGCTGACATATACATTTAAACTTGAGCAGGAATTTTAGATAATTTCAAAATATTACATGTTCAAGTAACTGATATAAGGCATGCATTTTTGTTTCAATTTGACATTTGATCTTGTACCAACAAACAGCGTTTTGTAAAAGTATCCATCCATCCATCCATCTTCTACCCTTTAATCCATTTCTGGGTCAGGGGGGTGGCAATCAGAGATGCCACCCAAGTCTCATAGCACCAGCAGTAAAAGTAAAGTTATGTAAAAAAAATCCAGTGTTCCTCTAATAAGTAAAAAAAACGTTGGCAAATTAAAAACCTCAGCGAGTCACTTCTTGACGCTTTGGGCTGACGGTTTGATTGGCTGAGCAATTTTTCAATTCTCTGTCTAAAACAAATTTGAAAACTAGTGATAGACACTACTTTGTGGTTTAGAAAAATGTCAGACCTGAACTTAGAGGAAGCAGAAGTGATTTTGTGCTTTGACACTAAAACACCAGAGTGCATTCCGTTTGTGCGTGACTTCTGTTAACTAGAAATACTAAAAGAGCAAATGATAATGTTCCTTACAGCCTCTGGGGGCATCTGTACAAGTCCAAACAGATTCTTACCTTGGACTAAAACACATTTAAATAAATTTCCTCCATTTGGGCACATGCTTTTTAACAAGAATGAGATTACAGTAGTATCTGGATCGCTAAGCCTCTCAAACAGGCTTAAGTCTATTATACAGCTGATCTATTTAAGGACACTGCATGCCCACAATTATTTAATTAATTAGACCAACTAAACCTCACTAAAAAGATTAGTGCAATTGGTCTGTTTAAATTATCCACATTGTTGTTACTATTTCTATCCATTGATTTGTTTGACTGGGATTCCCTTTATTATGAATTCTCTCATTGATTAATACCGTTTGTATTACTTTGAGACTCACATGTAGTAATGTGACCGCAATATATTTCTTAATCAAAACACAATTGCAATATGAACTGTTGCATTATCTGTTATAATATCTAGAATAATATAACTGATAGTGCAAATGCAGAAAAGTACAAAAGATTTTGACGTCAATGTCCAATGACCCTGGATGTGTTTGGAATTGAATATGCACTGAAACGCAAAAATATCAGAATCAATTTTTATTGCCAGTAAAAATTATCATACATTAGATATGATAGTGATGATAGTGCTATATGTATTTTATTTGTATAGCACTGAATGAATGAATGCTTTCTTTGGACATTTGAAATGAAAAAACAAAACAAAAAGCAATATAAACCCTGACAAGTAAAAAACCTTGGAAATAAATTGCATATTAACTTCACTTGAATTCCTCGAGTACATCCTTTACTTTATATTACCAAGTAACTCAAGTGATTGCAATAAATTATAAATTTTAACTTATGCTCCGACCGAGATTCGACCTTAGAACCTTGTAGTTGAGAGGTGATGGTGCTATCCACTCAGCCACCGGCCCACACCCTCAAAACTGAGGTTTACTTGAACAGAGACAGTTCAATTCAAATAAAACTCTGAGTGATATAGCCAAGCTTTAAATAAACTAACAATAAATGAGTAATATTTACTTACTGGGAAAAATCTATTTAAAATAACTTTGATATCTGAAGTACGATTGAAGTTAGGGTTTACAGTGTTAACCTCTAAGCAAAATAAATAAACAATCGATGTCCAAAATAGGAGTGGGAAGCAGTAAAAAAAAAACTTGTGTAATCCCAACCCCTTCTTACAACTCTGATTTTACACAATATCTATCAAAAACAATGACTTTGAATCTATTTCAGGGGTTAAAGCAAAAAAAAAAATTGAAATTGGAAATGTATCATCATTATTATCATCATTTATGTGGTAAATCACAGTCATATGCAGGACCAAATTATATTCTAAATTACAACATATTATTGTATATGAATAACAGATCAAATGAATTCTTCAAAGATATACAGGTGTATTTTGATGTGAAATTACAACAAGTGGATCAAGCAACTTGTCAACTCTTTGACAGAATATTAGTGAGAGTAGTCGCATCTGCATCATTGGCTTTACTTGAGGCGAGATGAGGCGTCAATATCGCAAAAGGACATTCAAAATTCTGTCCACATTTGTTTGTGGACTCTCAATGTTTAAGAAAAAGGTTTCCCTATCAACTTGGTGGCTAGTGCACAGTGCAGTTTGATCAACTTTGATCAGTGCAGTGATATTCTGAACGACAGGTTATTTTCTGCGATAAAGCCACAGACTCTTAGTTTTAGGTCACAGACAGGGTCCACCAAGCCTAGTCTCAGTTGTGTGACGGCCCAACTGGGCCCTCTTATTTTGACTGTTCACTGTCCTTGTTTCCTGTCAGGACCGGAGGTTAGGGGCGTCGCCGGGCCCAGGCTCAACCTGTACTCCTCAGCATTAATGGACCACAGCTGGCATGCAGTGTCTTCGCTCTCTGCTGCTCAGACCACCGGCTGCTCCACCTTTTACCTTTGTTTAGTTTAGTTGATTTATCCACATACTGATTCACCTCACATACACTCAACACTGCACACATCACTGATGCATGTTCACGTCATTTTCTTTAATTAAACACTTAAAACCGTCATTGCTTGTGTGGTCTCCTCTTGTTGTTGCTACTCTTGAGCCAGAGTTGTATCGCTGAATCTGATGCACCAGGTAAAGAAGTGTGGGAAAGTGCATGAACAGCTGCCTTGTGCGCAGTTTTGAGCTGGTGGCGAATCCAAAGCTGTTTTCTCATTACTCCCATATATAAAAAAATTATGACGAAGTACGAACAAGCACCGGCCACCTTCATCTTTTTGCACCATGAAGCAACAGAATCCCATCGTCTCCACCTCATCCAGCCATGTCCACCTCCATTTATTTTTCACTCCGTTATCAATAGCAACTTATACTGCTCCTTCTTCCATAAACAACGATCCATGATTGTAATTGTGCGTGCATGCTAGGCTAGCATGGATAAATGAATATAAGACGCGCTAACACACTACACCACACCTTTCTTCAGAAAGTTTCTTCCGTTCACTCTCGTTGATTGGCTCTTTAATATCACGCTGAGTTTTGCATGCAATGCAACCAAAACAATATCAAAAGCTCACCAAGAGTCGACATGTTTGTCCCCATTCCCAGTCACAGCAAAGTACGTATTGTACATTCCATTAAATAAAATAGCATTGCGTTTGGTTAACACAGGGGTTAAAGCAAAAGGGGATTTGACTAAAGATTTTCTCATGGAAATTTATCACATGTAAATCACAGTCATATGCAGGACCAAGTTATATTTTTAATTACAATATATTATTGTATAATATATATTGTATATTGTTTACAGATCAAATTAATTCTTCAAAGATATACAGGTGTATTTTGATGTGAAATTACAACAAGTGGATCAGAATATTAGTGAGAGTAGTTGCATCCGTAACATTGGCTTTACTTGAGGCGAGATGGAGCGTCCACACTTTGGCTCTGTCCTCGTCAAAATATCGCAAAAGGACATTCAAAATTCTATCCACATTTGTTTGTGGACACGTCAATGTTTAAGAAAAAGGTTTCCCTATAGTGAACTCTAATCAACCGCAAAGGATTGAATTAAATCTAGGCAAGGCAAGGCAAGGCAAGTTTATTTATATAGCACAATTCATACACAAGGCAATTCAAAGTGCTGAACAAAACAAGAAAGCATTAAAATCATAAATTATCACAGAACATTAAAAAGAAAGATAAAAATATAAAATCCCTCAGTTGTATGCACAGTTAAACAGAACTGTCTTTAACCTGGTTTTAAACATTGTCAGAGAGGAGGCCTGTCTCACATCTTCAGGAAGACTGTTCCAGATTTTAGCAGCATGAATCTGAAAAGCAGCCTCCCCATGTTTAGTTCTGACTCTGGGCACTAACAGGAGTCCAGTCCCTGTGCTCCTCAGAGTCCGGGCTGGTTCATATGGGACTAACATGTCACTAATATATTTTGGTACGAGGCCATGGAGAGACTTGTACACAAGCAGAGCTGTTTTAAAGTCTATTCTCTGAGCCACAGGAAGCCAGTGCAGAGACCTGAGGACTGGACTAATATGGTCGTACTTCCTGGTTCTAGTCAGGACTCGAGCTGCTGCATTTTAAATGTACTGCAGCTGTTTTACAGCCTGTTTGGACAGACCTGTGAGCAGGCCATTGCAGTAGTCTAACCTACTGGAGACAAATGCATGGATAAGAATCTCCAAGTCTGCTTTAGACACTATGTTTTTGATCCTGGCAATGTTTTTTAGATGGTAAAAAGCTGCTGATGTTACTGATTTGATGTGGCTATTAAAATTTAAGTCTGAGTCCAGTATTACCCCTAGATTTCTGACCTTGTTTGAAGGTTTTAGGGAGAGAGACTGTAGGTGACAGATGACGCTCTCTCTTTGTTTCTGGGGACCAAAGACAATCATTTCAGTTTTGTCTGCGTTTAGCTGAAGGAAGTTGTTTTGCATCCACTCACTGATCTGTTGGATACAGTGAAGGAGTGAGTCCACTGGTCCATGTTCTCCTGCAGTCAGTGAGACATAGATCTGAGTGTCGTCTGCATAGTTATGATAGGAAACTTTGTTCCTGCGTATTAACTGACCTAACGGCAGCATGTAGAGATTGAACAGAAGAGGTCCCAGGATCGACCCCTGTGGTACTCCACAGGTCAGGGCCATATGATCTGAGACACAGTTTCCAATCTCCACAAAGTACTTCCTGTCTTCAAGGTAAGACCCAAACCAACTTAGGGCGGTGCCAGTGACGCCAACCCAGTCCTCTAGTCTCTGTAAGAGGATCTCATGGTCGACGATGTCAAAGGCAGCACTTAGATCTAACAAGATTAAGATTGAGACTTTGCCTGCGTCAGTGTTCAGCCGGATATCGTTTGTAACCTTAACGAGAGCAGTCTCAGTGCTGTGGTGGGGTCTACAGCCGGACTGAAACACATCAAATGAGTTGTTGATTATAAGAAATCTAGTAAGCTGTAGGTAGACAACTTTCTCAAGGACTTTCCCCATAAATGTTAGATTTGAGATGGGACGATAGTTGTTAAGTACCGTAGCATCGAGACTGCTCTTTTTTAGCAGGGGCCTGATGACTGCAGTTTTCAGGGCCTTTGGGAATATTCCAGAATGAAGGGACATGTTTACTATCTGTGTGAGTGAAGGTAACAGACTGCTCAGAACAGACTTCAGAAATCTAGTGGGTAGTACATCCAGGCTGCATGTGGAGGAGCTCAAACTGGAGATTATCTCTTGGACAGTTTTATCATTTACAGGTGCAAAGTGAGTTAGCTGAGTTAGGCTGAGGTCTCAGGGCAAAAGAAAGGTTATCCATCAACACTTTTACTCCGTAAGTGTTCAGATGTGGCCCTTTCCCTTCAAAAAGCTCATGCCTATTCCAGAACAGATTAAAATTCTCAATGAAGGCAAGTCCTCTGCGTGAACATTCGTTGAGTAGGAAAGTATTTAGCTGATACAGACGACTGAATTTCATTTGCTTCCCGTCCACATTTGGTAGTGGGCCACTGATAACGATTTTTGTGTCCATTTTAGCAAGGTCGTCCAATAAGAGAGAGTAATCCCGTTTCAACTTTTCACTTGTGTTGTCATAGACGTCTACTGCCCCCACGTGGATCAACAATCTTTTTACCCCGCCGGTCTCAGACAGAAGCCTTGGAGCCAACCGCCTTATCTCATCCACTTTGGCAGAGTGTACTGAGTGAACCTTGAGATTACGCATATTTACATTTCTTATCGCCGAATCCCCGATAAAGAGCGACTCAGCTGCATTTGACCTTGACTGAGACTGAGACTGGGACTGAGAGGCTACTGCTGATTCATCTTCTAAAAGTGGTGAAAAGCGGTTTCTTGTAATTAAAGATTTTTGCTGTGGCATTATGACACTCTTGTTATCATTAGCTTTGCCTTGTTTGGGCTTGGCACCATATGTGTTCCAACAATTGTCTCTGTTGATTTTGGGAAATGAAATAGCGTCATCATAACTTACGTTCTGTCCATGTGGTCCATTTCCTTTCACTGGTATTGTTGTGTTCAGCCCCAATTCTGATTCAAGCACAAACATTCGGTCTTGAAGAAGTTTTAGCTCCTGTTTGAGTGAAAAACAGCCGTCGCAAAGTTTTGTTCTATTTTCCCGTCCTCCCGACATGCTGTAAGTTAGGTAAATTCCACCAGTCGTGTGTTGAAGTTTGTAAAAAGGAGTAATCCGTGTTTTGTGGAATAAAAATGTAAGCAAAAATGATTAAAGGAGATAAAAAAGCAGCAAGCGAGGAGCAGCAAGAGAATGCGACTGCTCTGTCCAGAGCAGGAAGTAGCTATCTTCAATGACAGCAGATTACTGCTGTCATTGTGTCCTTGGGCAAGACACTTAACCCCACTTTGCCTGAAGCCCCTGCTGAAAGAACTCAGCTCCTGTGGACTCACCACCTGCAGGAGGATCTACCAGCGGTAGTGATATTCTGAACGACAGGTTATTTTCTGCGATAAAGCCACAGACTCTTAGGTCACAGACACGGTCCGCCAGAGCAAGCCTAGTCTCAGTTGTCGCTGATGCACCAGGTAAAGATGAAGTGTGGGAAAGTGCACGAACAGCTGCCTTGTGCGCAGTTTCGAGCTGGTGGCAAATCAAAACTTTTTGTGACGGTGCAAATTGTCAATCTTTAGGGACTCTTTGAGGCTGTGTAACTCAAAGAATGCAATTTGTTTGTATGAAAATATTGTGAATTTACCTCTGACCCTTGTGACTCAGTAATGTAGCTTTCTATGTTCTTGTTCCGTTCTTTTGTTTTTTATATGACGCAAAACTGAAGTTGTACTAAATATGTAAGCCTGTTTGATTTGTTCAATAAAGAAAAAATACTTTTTGTGACGTCATGGGGGCTGAAAGATTAGCGGAAGTCGCCTGGAACTCGCAAAGATCTATGGGAAACTCGCCTGTATTTGGGCATCGTCTGGTCCTCCCGGTTCTGCGCAGTGGATGATCTCCCATAATGCGTTGCGCCAAATACACGTGTGTGGGTCTCACACATGGATCTATTATAATAACTGGATAGGGTATTACTAGCTTGTAGCTGAATAACTCACGGGCTCGGGGGATTCTCGCGGTACTGCAACTATACCAGACTAAATTCACGTGGGCTACCCAGAAATGTTCCCCATAGGACTCAATGCATATTAAAACAGCTCAACCTCAGCTGACAGAGAACCTACAGCTTTAATAAAGGTTGCATTTTGTGGGGATTTTAGTGTCCCTTGTCATCCTGAACTTTTTTTCTTCTTAAATCCTTCGGTTTTCATTAAATCCACACTTTAGTGCCACAAACTCTGCTCGTCTGGCTCTCGCTCTAACTGCCGCTCTGATGAACTGCTCTGATTGGTCGGAGCGCAGCCGAGCCCCTCTGTGCACGTTCGTGAGACCCGGGGAGTGGGGAGTGGTTGGAATAGTCCATGTGCAGTGTGAGAGGGGTCGGCTGTGATGCGACCAGCCCGGCCTCGAGCTCGGGCGACGTACAGGTCCTGCAGCGATGGAAGGCTGCGGCCGAACACTTCCTCTGCAGAGCGCACAATGGGCTGCATAAAAAGCGTCTGTTGTTGTCAGAGTATGTGGAGGCGATAACAGATAAGTTATTTGATTGAAAGTCCGTCTGCTCCCCTTATCATCCTCAATGAAAATGTGTTGCTTAAGCTTATGTATTCAGTCATTACCATAGACTGTATATATTAACGGACAGAGTCACGCCTATCTCCGCCGTTCTAACTAATGGGCCAAAAAATGTGCTTTACTGGAGCAATCCAAAATGGCCGCGAGTGGTCTCGCCCACAAGAAAATTGTGAAAAAACGCATCTGCGCATGCGTCAGCCGGCGCAGCTCCATTCATTTGAACGAGAGATTTAAAAAATTCACAGCAAGTAAACTAGAGTGGACCAAAAAAATCCACCCCCCTCAGCATTGACACACATGTGGAACGGAGCTTTGGTGCCAAGAGCCAACTTTTGGTCCATCCTGTAAAGACGTTTTTGAGAGGTCTGCCAATGCTATATGTTAGCATTGGCTTATTCTACTTCTGGGTCCACCCCCATCGGCCCGGGGTGGTATTGCAAGCATGTCAGCGCACGTCATTTTGGCCACTTTTGAGCTGGGACCCGCCCCCACTGGTCAAAAAATCCATGTGAAAAAAAATTACTTCTTACTGTTCTCAGGACAAATATTTATATGCGATTAAAATGCGATTAATTAATCAAAAAGCCTAAGCCTAATAAATTAGATTAATTTTTTTAATCGCGTACCAGCCCTAATATATATATATATATATAAATATATATATTTATTTGTTTTTCAGACCAATTTCATTTGACGGAAATCCGTCACCTAGACGGAACACTTTAATCCCTGATCTATTTTTAAACTCTAATATTGTTTGACATTTTTTAAGTTCCTCGTCCAATTTATACCATTTTTTTACTGACAGAAACACAAAAGCTTTTTAATGTGGTGCGGACCTTTTTAAATTGGAAAAAAAAACATTCCTCTTAAATTTGAATTTGTTTCCCTTTCAATAAACATATTCTGGATGTGTGCAGCTGTTTATTTCTAGCTCTGAATAAAATTAGAAGTGTTTGAAAATCAATCAGGTCATGAATCTTCATTATTTTTGACTGAATGTCATCTATAATCTACAATAACACCAGCTGCCCAAAGTGCTTCACATGCACAAAAGAAAGAACAAAAATAGTCATCATTATGTTTTTTGTCATTTCATGTTTTAGAATATTGTGCATATTCTAAAACATTAAGAAAAGTGTTGGGGATATCTATATTGCAATGTGGAAAAAAGTTGGAAAAAAGTTAGAAATTGCCAGAGGAAAAATTATTCAGATTTTGTGTGTGGGGGGATTGTATTCTTTCAGCAAGAAATGAGAATAATGTAAAAAGCCACTATCGTCAGCTCTGGTGTTGCTGTATCAGGGATCAGGACTTGAATTACATGTGGTCAGGTGTTTGTGAGCGAATGAAGCTGTAATCAGGTCAAATCCAGGATGGCAGAGAATCAGTTTATGACAACAACAAAAACAGCTGCAAAAGCTGTTTGAACAGGTGTCATATCACAAACATTACTATTACTGAGAAAGGAGGTCACTCATGTATAGATCTACATATTATGAAAACAGATACAATGTTAAATTATAACAAATTATACCGTACTGATATTGTGGGACGCTCTATCAATCACTGTGTATATTTTTGTTGATATGTTGCTTTTTTAGAGAAACGTTTTACTTAAAAAAATAAAATAAAATCATAGCCATACAAAATACCATATGCAATTCAAAATGATCAGCAATAAGTCCAAAAGTACACAATGATACGGCGTGAATTGTGTCATAAAACAATTGGAAGGGTGCAGGGTCTAAGTTACCAAGACAATAAAATAGAACAAATGGTACGATCTGGGACTAAAAACCCAAAAATAATCGCAGCTATACTGACCTTTGCATTGGACCCATGTTGTTTTCTGAATCAAGGAGCGCTCTGTGAAGGGAAACAAAGCGGTTTTCAAAAGGAATTCCCACAAAAAATTGGAAAATCAAGGATCTTAACACAAAAGCATTCAAAACCTATGCAACTGGTGTATTTTTAACCACTGCATAAGCCATATCTTCACTCCATATACTCAATCATACATGTCTTTAACATGGGCAGTCTTGTTTCAAGCGCTACACAAGCACTTTAGGACTTCTCAAACTCCAGCAGATGCATGGTAAACTTTGGTACTACACTAAATCCATAAAGATAAAATTATTACCCACACATTCAGACTTTCTGGACTAGGAATGTTGATTGTTGATTAATTGCAACTAATTGAATATTGAAATAGTTGTCTACTTCAGTCATCAATTATTCATTTAAACCACACCTGGACCAAAACAACCCTATTTTTTTCGGACCTATCATTATACAGCATGACATAGAATTGCTTTTGAAGTGTATTGTCTAAGTATGGCGTCGCTTTTAGCTTTGTGTTGGTCAAATCAAATGTACACAAAATCCCTCAATGGACTAAATCAAAACAATAACCCTAACCCTATTAAATAACTATTGATTACAGTACTCTTATACCGGACCCAGGAATTATAAAACACATCAGTGACAAAAACTTTAGCTTGGAACACAAATATTTCATTGTATTTGTTTGTGCGACTTCAAATTCTCGTATTGTATCTTGTGTTGTGTGCTCCTCTTTACTACTGTTATGTAACTTGATGTAACTCTCTGGGACAAATAATGGATCTCCTAATCTTAAATATGACTTAAACTTTTCTTGCCTTGTCTGAAGTATTACATAAGTTACCCTTTCTACATGAAAATCACTTCTTTGCTGCAGGCTATAAGGTGAACTGTCTTTGTGTTTCTCTTTAGGACTAGACTTTAACTCCTGCAGATGCATGGCCACAGCTGGTACACTGCAAAACCATAAAGGTACCATCATAATAAACTTTCTTGCTGGAGTTGATGCATTCATAAAAGCTCATAAATCAATAACACAGCTCGACTTCTCCTTCCTCCACTGACTGCAAACGTTTCCCTTCCAAACACATAAGTGCAGTCTAGATATCATATACTCATTTTGAATCATAAACATAAATCCCACAGTTAAAATAGTTGAATATGTTGTTAAAAACTGCTCTTTGCGCGTTGCTGACAGCTGGACTACTGAGGTTGCCATAAGGGAAAAGACATGTAATTGCAATTGCAGTGTCAAATACCAAAGGCGCGTCCTTCTCCCGGGGTCTGGGACGCTTTTTGGCGTCAGCTCATTTTGTTGCTTCGGTTCGGTCCATCGCTGCATTTTCCATCTGTTGACTTGAGGAAGAGCCAGAGACGCCAACAAACGCTGCTGATCAGAGTGACATGCCGAGGACACCGGAGCACGTCATGTTCCGCTAGTGCAGCGGGTAGAGAGCAGGCCACTTCCGGTTTGGGGTTTTCAGAATAAAAGGTGAGACGCGAATAAATATCGCTAGCTTTACGTAGCGACTATTTTATGACACATAATGCATGTTTTCATAATAAACCAGGGCAGCTCACTAATGTCTATACAAAACAACATGTTGTAAATGTTTTTATAGCACACAATAGTTTTTTCATAATTCAATATTTGTAAAAACGGGTTTGTGTTAAATATGTTAGGGTTTATTCTAATACACTGTATTGATTGATGTATTGATTCATTTATGTATTTATTTCTAGTTTGTTCATCCATCCATTTACTGCTGCTTGTTCCGTTGCCGGGTCTTGAAGGCAGCAGTCTAAGCAGAGAATCCAGGTCATGTCTATCCAGTGTGCCATGGGTTCCCCTGGGTCTCCACCTGGTGGGACATGCCCGGAATACCCCAGGGAGGCGTCCAGGAGAAATGAGAAACCTGAACTGGCTCCTCTCAATGTGGAGAGGTGAGCACTCAGCCACTCTGAGAAGGAAACCCATTACGACTACTTGCATTTGCAATTTTGCGATTTATAATTTTCACCAATAAATATTATCACATTTTCATTCTTTCTGGGCGTAATGTATCCATTCTGTTACATTTTGCTGACATATCTGAAATAAATGGTTTAATTGATCAATTGATTGACCTGCTGGATGTTTGGTAGAGTGTTTTTTTCTTTCTAGACTCAGTACAAAGGTTCTTTCAAAAAAGTATACAAAAGATTACTTTTTCTAGCAAGACAAAACATACGATAAAAAAAAACTTTATGTGTCACACAGTGGGGATATTTCAAATTGTGCAGATTTTTTTGGGGAGGAAGGTTATGGGTACCTCAGCTTTAAATAAGGCCCATTGCCAAGTATGGTATGAAATATGTGAGAAATACTAAAGAACGAAAATTTACATTGACTTTAAAACCAGACGAATTACCTTTCATTCATTCATTAATTTTATTCCCCTTTATTAGTCAATTAGTTTCTAGGTTGGGGGTCCACGGGAAAAGATTGCCCTGGGACACAACGACAGCAGACATCAGTGGGAGCAGGTGACATGGGAACCCACGAGCATTAGGTTAAAAAAAACTAAGACAAATGCTCTATCAACCGAGCCGCTGTCGAATTCACTTTATTGTCTAAAACGCGCTACTTCCTGTTTTATTGTGAAAGCGCAGATGTAGCGGAAGTCCCTCGCTCCTAACGCTTTACATCCTCGCGCACTTGCCTCATCTCCTCAGTGTCCATCTCCTCTTCATCACACGCGCACACGGCACCATGGCCTCCGACGAACTGGCCCTCAAACTGCAGTCCCGCCTGGCCTCCACCTCCCCGGGGGACTCTCCACAGCACCAGCCCACCCCCGTGGACTCCCCGAACCAGGGGGCTAGCGGCGGGGAGGAAGAATGCGAGCTGACCGCCAAACTCAACCGGAGACTGGACATCAATGACGGCACCGCGGCTCCCCGTCTCAGCCGCGTTTTCAACCCCTACACCGAGTTTAAGGAGTTTTCCCGCAAACAGATCAAAGACATGGAAGCGATGTTTAAGCGGTAAGTCTCGTTCATTTGCGATTTTAAAATAGAGATAAGAAAGATAGCCGTGTTCGTTCTCTAGAGAGGATTAAAGAGGCAGCGTGACGTGTGCGTGGAGACGAAGCAGGTGATCCAGGACACCTCATCCCATTCATCCACTCACTCGTTCATTCATAAATGTAGAATTATTTTTATTTATTTTTTTGCAGGATTTTACTCCCACCTCATGCACAGACAGGCCAAAAGATGGTGATGCTGCGTACGTGCCATTTAATGCAATATTGTTCAGTCGTGACGCACCTTCAGTAACAACACGCTTCCGATTTGACCAAAATTGGAATAACAAATTAATATGCTATTTTAAATCTAAACGGTGAGATTGTGCATGTTGTTACTCTGGCAATACATACAAATCTCACGCGTCCTAATAAAGACGTGTATTGTGCCAGGCGATAGAATGGACTCCTGTCTGTTGAACTATTACCCTTCTCTATCATCAGGCTTTAATTTCAACCCCTCCAGAAACAAAACAGCAATTCTCCAAAACATATAAAGTGGGTAGTGATGCTATAGTGTGTGCTAGATTAAAATATATATGTATGCATGGATCGCTTTTGCCACAAAGTCTCGGTAAGTAAAGCTGTGCAGGTGCATAGTGCGTAGTAGGAGCTGCATTACTGTCCTCTGATTGCCCATCACGACTAGAGAGAGAGAGAGCAATGTGACCTTTGGAACGCTACATATAAACTTGTACTGTACAGCTAACGCATTTCTCCATCTATCCATCCTTTACAGCTTATTTTTTTCCCCACAATCGTATTTTGTGAGTGGATTTCTCATTTCATCTTTGGCTGGTATACAAAAACAATTCATCTGTCGTCTTTTATGGTCTTATTTTATTCTGTTTGATGTGACACTTTCTATTGTCATTAGTTGATGTGTGGTTCGGTCTCTGGCTCATTGTCCAAACTGACTTCTTTTTTAAAAAAAAGCTTAAATTATAGTTTATAGAGATCCGTCCTGTCTTTTTTACTCTATTAAAGGAAATTAGATTCACAATGACTGCATTGGAAACAAGCTGTATGTTTTTAAAGATGTTGGGATTGGGCTTTAACATCTGCGACACCTCTACATATTAGCAAACACTGATTTCTTAGTTAATTCAACACCCACCAATTAAAAGTTAAGTTTACGTTGGTTAAGTAGTATCAGAAGTGCGTCTTACTGCCTTGGAATGAATACGCAAGCAATCCCGTCACGTAAATAGACCAACCATTTCTTTCCCATTTTTATCCATTCTTTAGTTCTAGTAAAGACAACTTAAAGCTGGAGTAACTAACTTCTTTTTCATGAATAATGCATGAGTTTGTACCAACAGAAAGAGTCTTGTCAAATTTAATTAAAAGGTTCAACAAACCCGAGCAGGCTGTCTTCATCTTAAAATAAATCTTTTGGCATAGTAAGCCATATAACTATTTGACGTTTTTCGGCTTTGGGAGCTGATTTCCTGAGGTGAGGATGGTCCTGGCATTTTCACTTCTGTCTGAAAAGGCTGATCCAAAAATGAATTATAGAAACTCCGGGGGTAACATCACCAAACTCTTTTAGTGGTGATGATCCAGGACACTTGACATTCATAATTTATTTTCATTGGTCATCTTCCCCTTATGGACCAATGTCTCAATGTGGTTTTTAACATTGCATTTTTTGAGTTTGAACTGTTTTATTGGCTGTGTTGGCAAATTCAACCATTTTGTAAAGTCCTCAGAGATATCTACTGCTGTGATTCAGGGCCTTACAAGAATACATTGAATTTAATTGAATTTTGAGAGCGAAGCACAAGTTAGTTAAGTGCTTGAGGTTTGAAAATTGGATACCCCAGCTTTACCAACGCCATAAACCACATCCACCTGCCGTCTCTGCGTACATTAGACCGTGCGATGTGGGTTAGATTGTTGATTAGCTGTCACTGGACTGGATTTAGCTGTTGGGACGGTGATGGGCAGGTGTCCTCTCTCCTCGCTCCTTTTTGAGTCATGTGTGGTGGGCTCTGAGTGAAGGAGAACAAGCAGCTGTGGCCGTTAATTTGCTCTGAAGTGGTTTGAGATCAATCCGCTCTCAGATGTCGAGTGTTTATTGTTGATAGAAACTGAAAGGCTCTTCTCAGCCACTGAAGAGATGCTATTGATCTTGATGGTGATAAAGAACAATGTGTTGTTTTAAGAGTTCTTGATATGGTTTGGGATTGAGACATCAGTGACTAAGTGGGTGTTAGGAGGCAGAGTTTTTCATCATTTATTTAGACTCGAGGCAGGTCTGGCTACATTATCTTATCACCGACAAGTGTGAAGAGTGAACGCTTTGAGAAGTGGCTTTTAAAGTGGAATGTTAAGTAGGAGTTCCCAAAATGGAAACCCATATATTTCATGGTCTTATTTTTAAACAAAGCAAAATCAACGCTCAGGATTTAAGTAAGATCACTCAGTACTTGAGATTATGTCTTGTTTACATTTACTGTCTCTAGGTTTTGTTTATGTGACATCACACAACACTCCAAACTGAAGTCAGACCTCTAGTCTCTAGTTTCTTTAATTTTTCGGCCAATCACCATGAAACACAAGCAGTTTATGTCAGTACATATAAACTATTTATATTTTCTCATATAAATCTCTGGATTGGACTGGATTATTTGGACATTATCAACACCTCCACTGTATTTATAGCACATATAGGAAGCAAATTTCCAAAGTGCTGCGCAGACACAAATTACATTAAACAAGTCTTGACAGCTTTATATTTATTTACAGAAATAGAAGTGAGACAGTAAGATTAAAAAATAAATAAATAGAATACATACAAAAATGGCAATTATAGATATATATATATATATATATATATATATATATAAAAAAAAGGCAACCATTTATTCTGAGGACCACACAACGTACTTTTACATTCTGGCTTTTAAGATCAGACTTAAAACATTCCAAACGAGGAAGCAGTTTTGACTTGTACGATGCAGATGCAAGTAGAAAGGACTTCCAGATCAATATGTCAGGTTTGTGAATCTAATCACTGTCAAATGCTTATTAGAGAGAACATTTGGACATATTTTGTTTATCAAAAATTCTTCCAAACCGCTTTGAGTCATTCCCATAGAGTTGTATTGCACTGGCACCTGCTCTCAAACTGAAATAGATTTCTAGAGAAATATTACGTTATCATTACTGTGTTCTCATTACTACTGTGTTGGATATAGAAACGACATAGAAGCTTAATTTACTGTGGTCCAATTATGATCTTGAGTATGTCTTTATGTGTGATTATTTCATATTAAAAAAAAGATCTATGTATTCAGTTCAAATCTAAACCTCTGTATCGTCTCAAACATTAGCCTCCTGACTGACTCTTCCCCAAATATTCTGGTCTAAGTAAATAAAATCGGGATTGTCTGTCAGATTAGTATAATATTTCACCATCGTAACACAAACGACTGAACGATGCATTGTCCCGGTGCTGAATGGAGCCATGTGTCTTACTGCCGTGTTGATATTGTGCTCCGTCGCTGCTGTCAGTGGTGGTCGGAGGATAAGGGCTCATTGTAGCTGCTCTCATGGGAGATTTCTGTGGTTCGGGACAGAGGAGCTTTTGTGCAGATGATGCAACAAACAAACTATGTGTATGACTACATGTGGCCTGCATCATTTTATAAATACTGTAGTTTGTGCTGTATATAGTAGCATAGGTGTACAAACATTATAGTGAGAGGGCTATTTTAGTTATCCAAACTTGTCCAAGTGCAGGAAAAAAACTGTTTTGACTGGATTTAAGGCTATCTGGGTTATAAAATGGGGTACAATATCAGTATCAGAATTGTTTTTGTTGCCATTGTAATTTTAAAGGAAGTCACAAACTAGGAATTTGCTTTGGTATATGGTCAAAACAACTTATAAAAAATGCAAATAAAGGCATGTATAAAAATATCTTAATAAAATTCTAGCAGTATTTTAACATAAATATACGCAAGACATTTAACCGTGCAGCTTATCAATAAACTCTAACTTTAGCTTAAAAATGATGCAAGTGAGTGTGTTCACAGTTAAGTGTCAATTGAAGTATCTCGACTTTAAAAGGTTATAACTTAAAAACTAAAATTACTATCATAGATTGGAAAAAAGATTTCAAACACAGACAAATCAAAGAGATAGCGTGGATAAAATCAAAAGGAAAGATTGTCAAATATATTTTTGGTGACATTTTAAACGACAAAATCAGCCTCTTTTTTGACCATTCTACTGTGACGCCAGTTACATAGAAAATAAAATGTCCTCAGTCTGAAAAAGCGGCAGATGAAATCCCACAATATTTACATGGTTAACACAACAGAAGGAAATCACTTGATATGAAAAGGAATCGTTAGAAAATAAAAAATAATTAATTAATTAAATGACCCTTGAAAAATGTGTAACGGACGTGATGGTTTCCGTCCTCTTTTCTCTAAAATTTTAACTTGAGAAATAAAAAAATCTTGTCTGGTTTCACATTTAATTGGTTGACTAAATGAAAGTATCACTTTGTTTCTACTCTGTGTAAAAAAAAATAGAATCTCTGAATCAATTGTGGACATCTGAAAATACCTATTAAACTTCCGCAAAGCTCATTCCGTCAAATCATCACGTCCGTTACATAAAATAAACAGGGCCACTATAGGAAACTTGTCTAATGTATAAAACAGTTATGTTCTAGCAACTTCTAATGGACAGAGGAGGTACGTGGAAACATGAAAAACATAAAATATCTTCTGATTATTAAAATCTAATTTTTGGCCTTTTGTCACACTTTTGTGCCCTTTAGTGTGAACAAGCCCAAGTATAAAATCTCTTAAGTGTCCGTGGGGTATGAGATTATAAAGTCACAGAAATATTAATTGACGATTGCATGTTTATTGAATCACTGCACAAAAAGTCAGTACAAACCATATAAATTCAACAACTGGATTTCAAAGTTTCTGAGCTTTT